TGTTTTCTCCCCGGGGGGCTGGAACCAGAGCTGCACACACACACACACACACACACACACACACACACACACACACACACGGTCAACATGTGTGTCATCATATAAACACCCTGATCCTGGGGTGTTTATCAGTCTAGTGTAATGTCACAGAGTGAGCGTTGGTGAGGGATGGAGTGTGTGTGTGTGTGTGTGTGTGTGTAAGCGCATGTGTTTGAATACCTGTGAACAGTCGGATGAAATGTGTGTGTGTCGTCTTCAGTGGCGTTGTGGTCCAACATGCTGAACTGAACCTAGTGAGAGACCTCAGGCAGTCATCCTAACACACACACACACACACACACACACACACACCATCATAAGTACATGTTGTAGTTCTCCCTACTGACTGATCAGATGGTCTGAGTAACACTTACCTGTCGACATGGTAAACTACCAAACAAAGGTTTATCCTCATCCATCAGGAGGCGCTCTGCAAAAGAAATCTACTGTTATTGTGACCTGGAAACTTTGTGTCATGAAGGAATGATTGTGTGTGTGTGTGTGTGTGTGTGTGTGTGTACCTATACTCTGGATTGTGTAGGCACAGGTGGACCAGCTCATCACTGGGACTCGTGGGTCGGTGTCGTTGGGGTTCAGCTTAAGTGCGACCTTGTATGTGGACAAACTGAAGGCGGTGATCATCTCACTGAGGCTGCTGGAGAAGGGACTCCTACGGAAATGTAGCATCTTCATTAGCATCGCACAGCGACGACACTGAACAGAAAAAAAACAAAAAAAAACCTCTGGTCTGAGTGTCTGTTGACTCACTGTGGAGTGACACTGTCCACTCTGAAACCTTCAGGAGGCTCAGGCTCGGGCTCCTCTGCTGCACCTGAAACACACACAGGAACAAATCAGACTCAGAATAAGTCTGACTCCGCCCACTGGCTGACTGACTGACGACTGACCGTCAGACTGCTTCCTGTAGGTTGAGTTTAGTGTTGCTATCTGCTGATTGGTTCTGTTGATCCAGGCTTCTAGGGAGGGATGATTCAAACTGAGACAAAGAGGATAAGAAACAAATGTGTCATCAACAATGTCTGTTTGTGTCAAATGTAAACCTGGTGTACATTTACTGAATTTTGAATTTAACGACTGCTTGTCGATTGATAAAGTGCCTTATCTTAGTTTGCAGAAAACTTTTACACAGAACAACAGAAAAAAAAACCTTATCAACAAAATTTCACTCATGTCATATTCCACATCACTGCCCCCTGTAGAGCAGCAGTGGGATTGCCTTCAGATTGACAGACCCAGATAATTTGGCATCACCACTTTTAGGACACGATAATAAATTTTTAAAATACAAAAATCTTTGAAAACATAGTTCTTTAATGAAGTACTACATATATTATGGCAAGTGCGTTTTTGTACTTGTGAGGGAGTAATTGTGAATATACACTGGTGTTCAAGTACAGATACAGTTGATCACGATGTGTATGTGTGTGTCCCAGTGACAGAAGTGTTCACCACAGCTCACAGATACTTACCTCAGATCAGGAGACGGAGTTCTTGGCAACAGAGGAATCACAGTGTTACTCAGACACTCGCAGAGTGGACACAGGAACTCTCCCTTCTCGACGTTGTAGCTCGTTGGACCTCTCAAACGCTGCTGACGCCGCTGCTCCTTCACCTGCACAGCCTCAAAGTATCTGCATTCAAAAAAAGAACATGTTGACATTCACGGGTCAACATCGGCCCCCCCCTGTGGTCAGTAACGAAAGTACAGCTGCTGTGTATCACCTCTGCCAGCAGGTGGCATGCATTATGTGTCCACAGCTCGCGGTGTGAATCCCTAAGGAAAGGTCAGGGTGCTGGAACAGAGGGTCGTATCTCTCTGAAACACACGAAGACAGAGACCAGACAGTCAGCGGTGAACGCTTCCTGCACAACAACGTCAGAGTGTTTACGGTGAGTGAAGCTGACCGGGGTTAGGCAGGCTGCGCCGACGGTTTTTGGACAAGACGGTGGATCTCTGGACGAACGAAGCCAGCACCATGGCTCTGCCTGAGGCTCTGACCTCCTGCTCCTCCTGACACAGAATACATGTGACCAGCTGACGGCTGTCGGCTCCACCCGCTCTGCGGGGACCAACACACACCTCTGACAGGCAGGATGTGTCCAAACCTGAGGAACTGTAGGAAGGAGACAGAGCCCGGTGATTTTGGAACTTGCCGAGACACAGATTTACATACGGAGTTAAAGAGTCGTTTGCTCATGTCGACACAAACAGAGCAATAATATAAACTGCAGAGTGTACCTTGTTTGTGCAATCCCTGAGGTTGACGCCTCCAGCTCCTCCAGACTTTGTTGAAACAGTTCTTTGTTCTCGTTGATGAAATGCTTCTGCATCTCTGACATCTGAGCCATGATCTTCTCACGACGAAGACGAGCCATCTCCGCCTTTCTCTTCCTCTCTGCCTTGTCTTTATCTCTGGACGACTGCGGGACGAAGAATTACCGGTGAGGTCTACAGTGCATGTCACCAGGTCAAAGGTCAGATGTGGGTTACGTTACCTCCTCCTGTCCTGCTCCTGGACTCATGGTGATGCTGGAGGTGCTCGACGTTCTTTCTCTCATGGTTTTGATGTTTGTCACCATCTGTATTCAAACACAATCATTAAAAAAAAAAAATTCAAAAGTGAACATCCAGGTGTGATGTCATCACAACTGTCATCACCTTCAGGATCCAAGTGATCAGGTCTTTATGAACCTCCAGGTGAGGAGCGTTCTGCAGGGTCTCCAGCAGAGCCAGGATGCTTCCGGAAGGACTGGGGGATTCGCCAGGACCTACACACACATACACACACACAAAAAATAAAAACAAAGAGACAATGTGTTAATGTGTGATGCTTCTTCCTCCACAGTCTACCAATCAAATAAGAGAATTTGAACTGAACCCCGATCCACAGTCTACCAATCAAATAAGAGAACTGAACCCCGTAGCTCTGTGTTTTGTTACTAACGTGTAATTTTGGAGGTGTAGTTAAACATGATGTCATCGTCACCACTGCTGTTCTCCAGCTGCTGCTGCTCCTCCAGCAGAGCCATGCCCACCAGATGAAGCACCTGGGTACGTGTAAGACACACACACACGTCTTGTCATGTAAAACTGTTCGTCTGAGCTCTGACTGAAGTGGACACCTGAACTTACCCTCTGCAGCATGGACTCAGTCCAACCACCTCCACTGGGCTCCACTGCCCACTGCAGCACAGCGCCCTTTATGGCCAGCAGCACATCACACTGCAGCAGGTTCACCAAGCTGGCAAAGAGAGGAGCGAGAGGAGGAGGAAGAGGAGGAGGTAGAGCTGGAGAGAGAGAGAGGAAGAAAAAAAGAGGGACAAAATAGAGATGACGAGACAGAAAAAAAAAACCTAAAACCACCTAAATCTGGCTTCTGGTGGATTTTATGTCTGATGCAAAATAGGTTCAAATCTGTGACGTTTCTGCAGGAAAGCTTTATCCCTAACGACGACTAGCAGAGACGAGGTCAGCGTCTCACACACATCCACACATTTTACCTGTGTCTTCACCATTTCGTCTCCTCAGCTTCCTCTGGGCCTCCTCGGCCTAAAAAAACACAAACACACGCAGCTGTGGTTACCATGGAAACGCAGACTGCAGGAGCTCTGTGAGGTGATACAGTGAACGCATTGACAAAGGCCTTTAAAACAGTACGAACTGTTGACGAGCACCTTGGACTGATCAGCTCTGCTGTAATGATGGAAGTACAGGTTGAAGTGTTTATTCCACTCAGGACGCAGCTCGTAGAGGCCACGCCCCGTCACACCCGGCTTCCTGTAGACACGTCACACAAATGATGACATCACTGTTAATGTCACTGCATCATGAAGTAATAACAACACTAATAAACAATGATGTTTATGTAGTTGTATGTGGAGTTTAGTGCTGTGTATTTAAGGGGTCAAAGGTCGGGGTGCTGTGGTTAAAAAAAAAAGAGAAAAAAAAAAAATGGCTACACACTTGAAGAGCAACAGTGTCAATCACTCTCTCCAGTCCAGTCTCTTTGTTTCCCTGAATGAGAGAGAAAAGTCAAGCGTCAGCCGACATCAGACAGACACATATTGACACAGACATAAAAAGACGGACAGAGCCACAGACAGGTGGACTCATGACTCACATTCTCAGGTAGAGCCTTGACGAGTTCGCTGTGAGCCATTGGTCTGATCGACAGCTGGTGGATGATTTCTCTTCTGACCTCGTCAAACGGCGCCACCTGTCCCACACCTGAGATGTACCGCTCACCTGGACATGGACACAGAGACACAGACGTGAACGAGCAGCAGGACAGACTGACGTCCACACCAACACGACAACACATTTTCTTACCAATGACCATGATGATAAGATGAAGCATCTCCTCAATGAGTGTATTGTTCTGCTGGACCACATCCTGTCAACACACACACACACACACACACAGGCTGTCGTTGTTAATACTGTCAGTGGTGTCAGTACTGACCCTGCTGGTGTCTGTATCTCTTTCTGACATCGGTCAGTGTCAGTACCGACCTTGTTGGCCTCTCTGTATCTTTTTCTGACATCTGCTGAGGTGAAAATGTGGAAAAGTTCAAATCGACTGAGGACGATCATCAGGAAGTGGTTTGGATCCATCATGGACGCCCCCACCTGGACACATCACACATGTTTAATGTTGATTGGTTGGTTTTCAGATTTCATTAATAACGTCTGAACTTTCATGTCAGTATTTTAAGCTTTGTGTGTTTTTTTCTTTACCTGCAGCATGTTGATGTCTTTGTCAAACATCTCCACTCTGCACTTCACATTGTGATAATAATAAATCTGAAAGAAAAAAAAGAATAAATAAAAAAAAAAATCTTAGCTCTGATGTAGCCTAAGAGATGTAGTGTCAAACCCACAGTTACAGAAATGGACTCACTTGGTTGATCAGGGAGAAGCCGTTTCTTCTCCACATCCCAGCATGCACTTGGGCACAGAGCACCAGGCAGCGAAGAGGGAGTTCAATTAGGATAGGAGGGCTGAGTTCACCCTGATACACACACACACACACAAAATACACATTAAAAACCTGCAGTAATTCATGCATTCATTCCTGATCAGAGCCACACATTTATCAAGGTAAACAATGGATGTACTGAATTTTTTCCTCACCAGGGGGAGCTGCTCAGGGACACGTGAGGCCACTTCAGTCCTGCTCAAGAGGATGTGCAGACCTGCAGGACAACAGCTGGTTAATGTGTTTGTTCAGTGTCGCCTTCCACTGGAGACATCTGACACTGCCTCAGTCACATCTGAATTCAATTATCATTGTTTTTAAATTATCATAATGTTTACAACAAAACGACACAACACGTGTGTGTGTGTGTGTGTGTGTGTTTACCAGCCAGCAGTCTGCACACTGGAAGGTGGATGGATACTTTGTCCTGAGACACCTGGTATCTGAAGGTCTCCACACAGTGTCCAGCCAAACTCAAGCTGATTGGCTGTTCACCGTCAGGAAGACCGCCCTGGCACTGACTGAGCGTGCTCAGACACTTCTTGTAGGCCTCGATCAGCACGTGCTCCTGTCAAATAGCATCATTTAGCATTATGTAGCACCATAAACTAACAGTGTGTGTATTCTGTGGCTGCTACGCCGTGAACACACTCACATCAGTGCAGCACCATTCCTGGATCATGGAGATGATGGGAGTCAGCTTCATCTGCAGTGTGAAGGCGGCCTCCCACTCAGGCTCCATCTCTATGTGCTGCCCCACCTGCCTCACCACTGGGTCCATACCCTGATAGACACAGACAGGGAGACAGAGACGGAGACAGAGATCAGAGACAGGAAGGTGACTCCGGTCCAAAACAGCATCAGAGTTGTTCGTCTCACTTCACCTGCATACACTTGAGCAGATCCAGGAAAGCATCCAGACCTTCTAGAAACTTCACTCTGAGCTGACAGGTCCACTCAGAGGGATGACTGATCAGGACGTATCTGTCCACAAACACAGTAGGTCAACATGTAAAATCAAACTGTGATGACTGGTTAACTGTTGGTGGCTGATGGATGACGTATGTAGGTGAATAGATGGTGAGTACTTGGTCTTAAACGAGGAACTAGAATCACTAGTAAGTGACTGGTTAAGCACTGGTTCTTACTTCAAGTCTCCGATGAGGCTCTGGACTCGTCCAAACTTGAAGGCCTGCTGTGCTGTGTATCGATCAAACTGGAAGCGTCCCTGCAGATCTCTGTGACGCACGTGGTCCACAAAGGTCCTGATGATGGTGCTCATGAGGTCCTGTTCTACCATTAACATCCGAGCCTGCAGCATGGACACACACGGAGTCACACACACACACACACACACACAACCAAAAATAGAATTTCCAAGTACAACAGGAGAACAGGCAAACGTGGTCACAGACACCGGTCCTGTGGGACTGTGAGTGTGCGCACGTTACAAACACCTGCAGCTGATGACATCAACAGACTCCACCTGTCAGTCATCAGTGTGATTTCACTCACCAGCGACGGGACGGTGAATATTTGCACAGACAGGTCAGTGATGGAGAACTCACGATCATGGTCGTCTGTCACATAGTCGCTTTGCAGCTTTTCATAACTCTACCAGCAGGCGAGACAGAGAGCAAGCCAGAGAGAGGAAGAGGGAGAGAGGGAGAGGGAGAGAGAGAGAGAGAGGGAGAGAGAGAAAGAGAGAAGTGTGTGTGATGAGGAGGGGGCTAAGACAGTACTCACCATGGTTGGGACTGTGAAGAGCTGAACGGACAGTGACGTCACTGACACCACTCGCTCGTGGTCGTCCTCCAAAAAATCTGTCTGGAGGCGTCTGTAGTTCTAAAGAGTTAGAGGTCAGAGGTCACTGCTGCTGACCCCAGAACCCCTTCAACTTTTCACACTGGCTTCTGACCTGAACTTACACAGGCCAAAACTGCTGCCGCTGTCATTGGTTTGTAAGAACCTTCATACTGTCCTCACCAAGAATTCTGGGTGATGTCAATATTAAAATGTGCCATGTTTTTCATTCACTGCTTTTCTAGGACGACACTTCTGACTCAAATCAGACTCAGACAGTGTCCATGACTCACCACATATGCAAATCATATCAAATCAATACAAGCAATAGAGTCTCAGAGGCAAAATCAGCCATTTTAAATGCAGTGTTCATTTTCCATCTTACTGTAAAACGCTCTGTATATAAAATATATTTTGAATTTGATCAGGTGCGTTACCTTGGCAAACTGGATGGCAAAGATCTTCTTGTACTCCTGGTCCATGAGGAGACTATTCATGAGCAGCTGGTGGTAGATGTTCCTGGCTCCTGGACACACAAACACAAGGTGTTTCACACACGTGGATCAGAGTTGATCTACTGTAACCTCAGACGTCTGGGTACGTGCCTTTCCACATCTTGGAGTCGTTGAGCATCAGTCTGTCGACCAGCGAGGAGTTCTCTCCTTCTGGACCTTGCTGAAGCCCAACCTGACATAGAATCCTCCTCAGACCATCTGAAACACACACACAATGAACACAATGAAGTGAAGTTCTTCACCAAGGATCGAAGGACGAGAAGGTCCAGGTAACGTACCCGAGTACTGAATGATCTGTCCTAACCAGCCGAGGGTCTTCAGAGCGAAACACTGATGGGCGACGACAGACGAGTGCATCACCTCAACACGCAGTGGCTTCGACTGGCGGCTGGTGTTCCTCTGATTGAGTGGTAACAGGAACGTTTAAACAGGATGACGTTTGGCTGCGGGGGACGACGTAACGTCCGAGTAACACATGCAACTCACCACAATCACCGACTTGGCCTGTTCACAGAACTGGAAGTCTCCGTATCGAACCGACTTCCTGCCCTGAACACACACAGACACGGAGTGAACAAACATGCAGAAGCACATGCACTGGATGACTGGATGACTGGATGACTGGATGACTGGGTGGCAGTGACACTGACCTCTCTGTCTACAGTGGTCGCGAAGCTCACCGCCTCCTTCTGGCTGCAGTTGACGGCTTTCTGTAGTGTGTAGATGACCTGTTCATAAGTGTGGACTTCATCATTGAACAACATGCAGTAGTAGGTGTCGGCTTTGTCCCTGTGCATGCACACAAACATGAAAAACGTACACTGTGTAAGAGAAAAGCACCACAGTTCTGAATTGGGATTTCATGTTTTTTTTTATGAATTGGCACTGGAGCTAACTATGCTGCCACCTACTGGTGCTGGAACCAGCCAGAGACACAGGAAAGAACAAATGCCATAGTCGCACCCCAACATGACATTTTCATGCTCTGCTCCTAGTCCTGTCAGGTCTCAGGCTGGTTCTGACTGTGTTCATGCCTCATTCACACTAATTCTAGATTTCATGACAAATTATTGTCATTATTTGCTTGTGGCTGTGCTTGAAAACATACAATGGTTCTAGTCCAGGAGGCAGAAGTTCTTCTCGCTCCCATGTCAGCAGGTCCACGGCATACTTCAGTATGATGAAAAAAATACTGTGTGCACGAGCCACCTGATCAGCTGGAAGCTGAGAGACAGGGTCCTGGGAGACACACAGATGGAGAAAAGCATGAGAGATGGATGCAGAGAGGACAGACAGGAGAAGACAAAGACAGACAGGTGTCCCACCTCCTCAGTATCTCTACTGCCGTCTCCGGGAGTGTGTTTCTGACAGTAAGGACCTTTCTTCCAGGCTTCACAGTCTCCGCAGTCACAGAAACCTCCACCTGCTGATGTGGTCATCTACACACACACACACACACACACACACAGATGATCCTCGGCCATGTAATTGTATGTCAAGCTCGTAGTGTCATATGCAGCAGTCAGATGACTCTCAGTGTCAGCCCCAGACTCACTGACCTATGACATCACACTCACTAACTACAGTCAAACTACACACACACACACACACACAGCAGTATGTGTGTGTGTTTGTACCTAAACACACTCACCCTGTATCGATGGTCTTTGTGGACACTTCCCAGGAAACACTGCATGCAGAGAACACATGTGGGATCAGCTGCACACTCCCTAAGAACACACAAACACAAACACACACACGCGCAGACATTTAAAAAAATGTGCTTCTGCCCTGAAGGTGTTTTTCAGATGATCTCTGACAACACTGTTGTTCACCAACTAATGACATCAGAAGTTCAGTGTCAAGTTTAAGAACTGATTTTAAAAACAAGTTCCTGTTACATCACATTAAGGGTTTGACCATTTTCAGCCAACATGGGGTTAAAGTTACCTTGTTATGTTAACCATAACTCAGTGGAAAGTACAGGGCAAGGTTAATATATTGCCCAATACTGAGTAAACATTCACTCCGTGTTATCAACGGCTCAAGATTAAGTTATAATTACAGGTTATAATGAGTAAAATGAGCTAAAACCACCGTAGGTTTGGGTCAATAGATATCAATATCAGTTTAATGTGTATTTTGGTTAGTGTTAGCTGAATATGACGGGTTGATGGCCGACGATTTGCAGGTGTACCATTGATGCCAACTCAGCACCAGATAAGCATGTTTACCTGCATGAGTAGGTGGGCTCCCCAACCTTGAACACGTGTCCACAGAGCGGTGACGGCTGGTTCTTCTCCTGGAGCTGAGCCAATCCAGAGGTAGGATCCTCCCCAAGGAGCAGCCACTCCAGAGGAGCCAGGAGAAGGAGCTGACATGCTAGCTCCTCCCTCTCCTCCTCCCTGTTGCTGCTACCACTGCCACCACTTGGCCCAAGGCAAAGAATTCTGGGAACATAGACTGCCAGGTGATGGTAGACCTCCTTCTGTAGGTCAGTTGCTGCCAGCCAGCACTGGAAAAACCAGAGGGGAAGTCATTTAATTCAACAACAACAACAACGCGAGATGAACACAGTTGGTCAAATAGAAAGTAAAACTAACATTTTCTATCAGGACAACAATGTCAGAGATGAACACAGTTGGTCAAATAGAAAGTAAAACTAACATTTTCTATCAGGACAACAATGTCAGCAATTTAATGCTAAGCATTAAATGAGCCAACAGTACTAATGTTACTGCCTTATTGTCCTTAACACTTATACTTAATGACCCCCTCTCTATCGCCCTCTGGGACAATGTCTGTCTCCAATGACCATGTCTCCTGGGACTACACTTTCTAAGCCCACCTCCTTGTTAAGACCCTACTCTGTCTTCAGGTGTATGCAGTCTGTCATGTTTCCTTGTCCCTGGGGACCAAGTGTCTTTTTCAACTGTGTTACTGTCAGTGTACGGACCCTGTCTCCAGTGGACTGTTGTTGTGTCCTTAAAGCCTGTATATTGCTTAAGTGCTTCAGCATCTCTAGTCTAAAAACAGTTTTATATTAGGTGACTCAGGACTTTATTTTGATTTGTTTTGTTGGACACGCCTGTCTCTAACGAGACTGTTGTCTCTGAGGACATTTTCTTCCAGTCTTTAGGACCCCTGTCTAATTTGTCTCTGTCCCAGTGGACCCCGTCTCCCTTTTCATAAAAAAGGCTGTCTTTCTGTATCTAAACACTGAACGTGTCTCTCTGTCCCTGGTAAGTCTTTTAAACATCTTCTCTCCATTAAACCCATCTCTGGGATGACTGTCAAACTGTCTTTGTTTTTCTGAGAAGCCCAGCTAAACGTCTCCCTATCTCAGCAGCGTTCAGTTGACGAGACACACAATAACTCTAACAGCTCCAGTTCAGCCGACACCGACGGTGAAACGCCGCGGGTAGACAGTGTCCAGGTTCCCAGGGAGCACGGCTGACAGACGGACAGGTGTTTCTGTCAGCCCCGATCCCCGCAGCCTAACATTAACATTAGCGTTAGCATTGGCGGAGGTTCAGCGGAGCCCCACGGTATTGACCTCTACTTCCCGGAGAAGCACGGGCTGAGGCTAACGATGAGACCTGACAATAGTGTCTCTAGATCGGACTGACTCCGTAGTCACTTACCGCTGCGGTGTCTTTGGCGGAAAAGTTCAGAAAATCCGGACTTAAAACTGACGCTGGCTCGGTGTCTGGATCTGCCGCCGCCATCTTTGCCTCCACTTGGATTTACACAGGTTTGTGCCTGCTGCAAGAAGAACCGGAACCGGAAATAAAGAACAGCTGAGCGGGCGGGGCTGATATAGAATTTCGACAACAACAACATTAGCATTGGTGAGAGCAATAATAATTTACTGTTAGTGTCATGTAGTATAGTTAGAACAATGTCATCTTTATTGTCATTGTAACACGGGGATACAACGAAAATGAGCCTCTGTTTTTAACAGTATCAATGTATTACTAGACATTATAAGTATTATTCAATATTAGATATTCTATATTTATTACCTACCAAATATTATACATGTACCTATTATTAACAACAGCCTGAACACAAAAGTTACTTAAACAACACTAACCAAATTAACTAACATATTATTAAAATACTTTCATAATTTGCCCAATTCCTATTTTTTTAATAATTTCACCATTTATTTTTTTAAATCCTGAGATGAATCCTCTTGTGAAAAAGAAAATATCAACACAAATTCAACATGTTCTTCAAAATAATTTATTTATATATTTGTTTTTTAAATATTTACATTTATTCAAACATTTATGTTAAACACATTTTCCAAACCGGGGAGCTGATAGAATTATTTTGTTCAAGACTGAATCAAAACTAGAGCCACAGCCTTTTAGATAAACAAATGGAAAATGTTGACACAGTACATCTGTTCTGTCAGAAATAAAGAAGACTATTGAATGGACTCAGTCCAGTTTTTGAATCATAACATCTAAAACAGTCTGGATGACAGAGGGCTTATACTGACAGGAGGATAAAGAACTTTGTTGGCAGACTGCATCTACTGAATAACAGTACTTGTTTCACTGTGACTCTCTATGCAAACCAGTGCTGACCCATACACTCTCTGTTCCATGGAACTCCACAGATCCAGCACCATTCAGATTTACACAGAGAACACCGCATGTGCATGCAGCCACCTGCAGGGGGGGACAGATTTGTAATTATAGACACGTTTTAACACAGGAAGTGGAAGCAGAAACTGTTTTTCACTGCATCAATTAGTGCAGTCCTAAAGAAGGAAGCTGATAATATGGGAGCAGAAATGCTCCAGAGACTCTAGTGCAGATATATTTCCATGCAGTTCATTTTTGGTAAAGAACAGGTATAGAAAAACTTCAAGACACATGGGAGCACAGCAATATTTCCCAATTTTTATTGAGTGTAATGAAATTAAAGTATATAAGATCTATTAAACTGTTACCATTGCGCTCCACAGGAACTGAACACTTGGGGCAGCGTTTGGTCGACTCCCTGATAAGGCGAAGAGAGGCTTGCTCCCACCTCCCCCGTAGACATGCCTCCTCACTCACCGAAAAACCCTGAGCATAAGAGCAGTAGCTGAGTAAATTTGTTAACTCTTGTAAGACTGTACAGACTCCATAGACTGTGATTGGTCAGTTTACCTGTGAAACGTCACCTGTTTGAGGGGTACTTAGTGTTTGACACAAACCCTCGTGATAGCACTCCCTGCAGTTCCTGCAAAAGACAAAGCCACAGCCCATCCGCCTGTCACACTCCACTCTCCTGCTGCCATCAGCGGGGACAAGCCCCGCCCCACAGCCTGGAGATGGACACATGAGTCCTCCAATGGACAGCAGGCATTCTTCAGCTCCATATTGCAGGTAACGCTCATACTATGAAAAATAGACAATGTCATGACAACGATTCAAACACAAAAACAATAATTCATAAATAAAAAAAAGTGTTACCTGGTTAACACCCAGTACTCTGAAGTGATGAAGTTCTTTAATTAGAGAGTCAGCGCAGCCAGCTACACACACACATCGACAATGATCAACAAACAATAAGCCGACAGGTGTCAGATACAGTAATTAGCATTATTAGTTTAAAGAAATGTCTGAATGGCAGGTCTGGCTGCTTCTAGAACACAAGAATCACCTATCAAGTGTCAATGTCATAGGTTATTCCAGGGTGTGACTAACACAGTTAGCTTGTGTAGTTTTTGTTTTAACTGGGTCAGATAACAGCTTAGATGTAGCAAAAATAAAAATAAGAACAAACCTGCACAGGGCAGAGAGTAGCCAACAGCTGCATCTTGAATAAAGCTGCGCTCGTTCAGACGAGTCTCACAGTAACGACGGAAACAGTCGAGACAGATTACATGACGCTCTGAACACTGGAACACCAGGACCACTTCCCTAAGACGCACACATTAAAAAAACAATCACATCTCTTTGTTATTAACACTCTAATGAGCTTTTTGGTCAAATAAGTCATAAACATTTCTAGACTAAGAGTTTACTTCTAGATCTTGAACATATTTGGCTTTTTAATAATAAAAATAAAAAGAGTTACATGATGTCAGTGCAGGCGATGCAGGGCACATCCCTGGTGTTGGTCATGATGAGGTCCAGGGCCACAGACAGGTCGTCATCTATGGTTGGATGAGAGGCACACTTCATAAAGAACTCCTTTTCACAAACAAACAGACACAAAACACACCAATCAGGTGACTTGCACGGTCATAACAGGAAGTAACAAAAAGTGCATCTGTTTTCTTACTGCTTCACTGCCGGAACAGAAATCTGACTGACAAACACCACTGATCTGCCCTGGGAGGAGGATGTCATCCCAACAAGATGGACCCTGAGAGACACACACACAAAAAAATAATACTGTAACTACAGTGATGGTACTTTTGTACTGACAGTATCCCTGTTGTTGCAGTACTTGAACTCACTCTACTCAGTGTGATGGTCGTCTCTTTACAACTCTTGCAGCGAACTCTCAGTTTTCCTGGTTCCACTGATTTGCAACTTTTACAGTACACAAAAAAAGTATTGCAGCGACAAACACCTGCACACACAACCACACACTGTAAGTGTATACTGCATTTTAAAATACAGACACAGTCATAACTTTAACGCATAAGGCAGTCTTTTCTAACAGAGACTATCTACATGTATTTCCACCTCTCGTATCCTGGATTAGTGACGAAACACGAATTGACATGAGAGATAAGGAACAATACCAGGAACTGATATCAGCTCTGACCTTTTGGAACACCAGTGTCCGTCTCCTCTGTACTTTCTTCTCTTCCTTCCTCCCTCGTTTCCCCCTCCTCTCTCGTGGGAGGAAGGCGAGAAGAGCTGAGGTCCAGTCTGGTCAGACTTTTCGGCTCTTCCAGTGGAAGCTGCTGAGAAGAGATGCGGGACCTGGAGGAGTCTGAATGAGGGAGGACAACGTGGACGGTGCTTTGGTCGGGGAGGTCACAGCCCTGAGAAGAGACAGTGATTTATTAGATTCAGTCTTTCCTGTTCTTCTTACCCCTGGTGAATCCATTTGGGTTTTTTTTCTCTTTCATCGTTTACCCTACCTGCAGTGTGACCTCCGACCTCAGCTCCCTCCCAGCAAAAAGAATTCGCAGGACCTCTGGTGAAACACCATGCTGCCTCGCTATCAACTCCTTCAGCTCTGCCACACACATGTTCTCCTGCAGCTCCACTGCAACTGCTGCCCCCAGGTTATACCTGACAAACACTGAAAAGGTAAAGGGTCTGGTCAGAGAAGAAAGACAGAAAACACTGTAGAATATTACTATAAAAAGAGTGGAACTCCTGTTGACAGAGAAAAACGGAGAATAAAATGACAGTAATAGAACAGTATCCCACTGAAAACTTATTAGAATCTCATTCGACACTCACTATACAATAGAACAATGGTAGACAGTTAGCTAAGTAAACACGTATGTATGAGAGCAGTAAAAACACAGAGGACGGTGAAATTTCATTTAAAAAATACACTAGAGAACAGCGAGAAAAGCGTAGAGTCAGAGTAAAGTAGAACTTTACTTTAAAAACCAATGTTTACAGACATTTAACAGGACATCTTAGAAACACAGTAGATCATCAGAAACAAATTAGCAACCAAATAAACACACTCCGACGTCCTCACCGATCATTTCGCCCACTTCGTCCTTCGGCCTCAGCGTGTTTACAGAACGTAGGAAGCAAAGCATCCTGGGTACTGTGGTTCTGTTACGGCTAACTAGTTTATCCGACGTCATTCTGTGGCACTAGAAGGCGGTCGCACAAAGATGGCGTCACGTTACTGCACCGGAAATGGAGGTATTTATGAATTTTAATAAACTTGTTTTTTCTTTGTTTTTCCCCCTCTGAGCCGCGGCTGGAGCTGTGAATGTCAGAGTCTGGTTTTAGTCGACATGGCAGAGAATCTAGAAACCTGCGTCCTGCAGCACCGACCACAAGGTGGAACCAGCGCCATCGCCAGCGTCGGACCAACGGTGAGAAGAACCAGGGTTTATGTTAAAATTATTTGTAGCGTCAGCGGGGTAAAAACTGTACGTTACATTACTGTTATCAATTATGGGTCATAATTTCCTTAATAAATGTACATCTTATACATTCAATTCACATGGAAGTATAATATACTTGTATATTGTACATTGTACAAATGTTATAAATCATTATTTATGTACATAAATAATATAGTGAGGTGCCAACATCTCTTTAAAACCACCATAAAATGTAAAATAATGATGACAACAATGTGATATAATCAACAATATTAATATATGGATTTCTATTATCTATCAATTACAGAGGGAAAACTTTATTTATTCAGCTTTTGAGGAACAATATGTCATCCTTGTTTTTTTCTTACCTCTTTGGGTTTTTATGTCACTTGATTTGCTATTGTTTAATTTTTCTATATATTTTTTCTGCATCTTCTTACTTTCAGTCACAGTCCGTTATTAACTGTATTTTCTGTAACTTTATAATAATAACAGTCTAAAAGTAACTTTATAATAATAATAACAGTCTAAAGCCACTGTCCTAAACATTTGATTTTATAATGTTCATCCTCTGTCATACGTTTTCCTCCTTCACCGTCATAGTCCTTTTATCTTTTAGTTTGGGTAAAAAAAACATTATAAAATTATGGAATTTTATCGGCTTTGTTTCCTCCTATATTCCAAAGAGAATTGTTTCTTTTGATGGACGGCAGGTGAGGTTCTTTTTAAAACTGCATAAAATGTATACATTTTGTCAATATATTTTCCACCCATTCTGTCCGACAGGTGGTAAAAATTGAGTCGACATATTCTTCCGGCGTAACCTGTGCCAACGGAGCGTCGGCTCTGATCCCGTCACACGCCGCTGAGCTTCATTTTCTACGTTCCAGGGTTCGAGAACTGGAGCGGGAAAAAGCTGAGCTTTCGACCGATAACCAGAGACTAAGAAACATGTTGGTCCACGGTGAGTCAATGATCACAGGTGACCAATCAGACAAGCTTTCCCATGATGATTTGATTTGTGATTCATCCAAATCGGGCTGATTCACTGACTTATTTTGTTATACCCCCCCCGTCCCCCCCAGAGATCCCTGCACTGCTGTCCACCATGTGGCAGACTTTGGGCCAGATTAACAGTCACTCCACCTCCATGGTGACAGGTGGTGGCCACAGCAGTTATGCTCTATATCAACACGCCTCATCCAGCGGTCCAGATGGAGAATTCAGCCCTCAGATTCAGCAGCAACAACAGCAGCAGCTGCAGGAGGAGCTGAGTGTTGAGCTATCAGAGTCCTGGGATGAGGATGAGCCAGGAGGAGCAGACCTAGGGCTGGGGAGTCATATGGGAGAGGAGGCACCAATTTGTAGCCAGACTGACATGGAGGAGCTGAGGAGGAGCTGCTCTGAAAGCCAGTGCACCGCCACCGGAATTATGCCAGGACAGGTGGGATGTGTGGCTGAAACGTTCTCATCCAAAACCAACAGATCTGTGGCCCAGTATAACCTCAGTTGTCAACAAACAATGTATGTGTTGTTGCACAATGTTTCTCCAGATGACCCAAGTGGAGGTATATCCTGGTTCTGGTGTACTTTGTGATCTACGCTCGTGGCAGGCGGCCAATCAGGCGCCATCTCCTACGGCTATGGCTCGGACCCTGCTGCTCGGTGTGTTTGACATGAACACACTGATGAACAGTAACCTCAGAGGAGGGCGGAGTCGGCGGCCGGCATTCCAGCCACAACGAAGTGCACTTGACCCGCACAAAATCAACGCCATCTTTAGTAGGTTGAAAATTAAGGTTGATACAAGAAAAAATATTCTTGGTCCAGTAAGAATGAAGGGTTTATAGTCCTGTTCAAGTGACATTATTAGATATACTACATTTGTCTGGTGTTACAGTAGATCTTGGCTGACGTCACATCTATTAGCAACACATGCTAATATCCAGCATGTTAGCTAGAACCAGCTGATGGCAGCTGACGTTAGCCAACATTAGTAATTTAAGTACACAGAAGTTCATGTAAGCACATGGTTGCTAATTACAAACATGGTAAGTACATATTTGATGACGTCAAGTAGTGTCAAAGACACAATTAGCTCCAGGCAGGCACACGATAAGACACGGCAGGTCAGGTTGTGAAATAACTAACTAGTTAGTTAGTGGAATTATCTTATTTGGGAAGATAATAAGAGGCAATAGGGAGACAAATATTCAAAGCTTGCTCAGCAAAGTTTTCATATCTTTCCCTTTTTCTCTTCAGATGCCATTTTGGCTCGCTTTCCTTTTGCCAAGAAAGGAGTTATCGGCACCGGAATCAATTCCAAACTTGCGGAGATCCGGTTCCGCTCCCGCAGAGCAAATCGAGATATCCAGTTCCTGTGACGGAACTGGAGATGACCACACCTACCTCATTACAAGTTTTAATAGAAAATCCTGAGGGAGTTCTGCAGGAAGAGAAGCAGCACAATGCTACACTGGGTGGACCAATGAGACTTAGTTCCTGTGCTTCAGACTCAGGTTTTGTCATGACGTCAGCTACAAAACACGAGGGAATAAGTTTCACAAAACTGGCTAAGTAAAAACTCTGTATTTGTTAAGCCTGAAATAAGTCTGAGATTCAAGGTGGGACTTAAGCTCCTGTATTACACTAAGCTGTGATATTTGTTACGTCAGAAATGTTGTTGTTTGTTGTTGTTAATTTAATGTAAAATAAACAAAAGATTTAAAAAATGATCCTGGTTCTTATCTGTCACAAATGTAGTGATGAGGTTCGTTTTTTATCAGCCATAATAAAATTTAGAGAAAACAACGCACCAGCAGAGGGCGCTATTTTACTGAACTGTTTTTTGTTTTTATCTTGGACAAAAAGTCAATAATTTAAGTGAAAGGATAGTTTCCTGAGTCATATCAGTTTCCTCTGAATCACTGAGTGTGAAGAAGAGAAACAGGAGGAGAAGAGATGAGGAAGAGAGAAAAGGAGGAGGAGGAGAATATGAAGAGGAGGAGGAAGACCAGGAGGAGGAGCTGCTGCTGCCTTCCAGTGCCCGCTGCTGTGATTGATATGAACTGGTCTCAGTGAGAAGAGCCTTGTTTTGTTTTGAGTTTGGACATGAGAGGGCCTGAGGTTTTCTGTTTGAGACAAAAAAATGACATTTTATTTGCATATTTTCTTTTGCTGCGGACGATAAAGATGATTTTGTTGAAAAGATAAAACAGAAGCGAGACATGGCCTTGGATTTCTTACACCGACTGACAAGAGGAGAGAGAGAACGCTGAAGAGAAGCCTCAAGAAAAACGGTCTCTAACAGACGAAGAGCAGAAACCGATGAATTATCTTCTACAGGAACAAAATTATTTGGCACATCTTTGAGTTCAGTTTAGAAGAACAAAAAGAGCATTTTTGTTCACTAAAATCCTTTTCATGGTTATTATTTGGGTTAGTTTAAGTCCCATGACGATTAAAATGTTTTTTTTTGCCTGTGAAGGAATGGTTCCAGGAATTCTTCTGACTTAAGTTAAATAGAAATTTTAAAAAAGTATAGATTTTGACCCAAAGAAAATCAAGTTAAAACTTTTGTAAAACGTTATTGCCTTTGTTAAAAATGAAGTTCGGGAACACGTGTTGCACGCTGAATGTCGGAGGCCGCAGGTTTTCTTTCTCTGCAGAGATGATGAAGCGTCTTCCCTTGAGCCGACTCAGTCGCCTGCATCGCTGCGTGTCTGAGTCGGAGCTGCTGGAGCTCTGTGACGACTACGACCGCGACAGTAACGAGTTCTTCTTCGACCGCCACTCGGAGGCCTTCAGCTTCATCATGTTGTACGTTCAGCACGGAAAGCTACGCTTCGTGCCACATATGTGCGAGTTGTCCTTTTACAATGAGATGCTGTACTGGGGTTTGGAAAGTGCCGACCTGCAGCTGTGCTGCCAGCGCCGCCTGGACGAACGCATGTCTGACTGCTTCGTCCACTTCTTCCCTGAGGAGGCGCCGCGGAGCCCGGAGGAACCCCGAAACCGCTGGCTAGAGAGGATGCGGAGGACTTTCGAGGAACCCACTTCCTCAGTGGCAGCTCAAATCCTGGCATTTGTGTCAATATTGTTTGTGATCGTTTCCATGGTGATGATGTGTGCCAGCACGTTACCAGACTGGAAATCTGCAGAGACTTTGGACCAGCACAGGTAGGTGTCAATGTGTCTGTTACGACTGTTGTGTAACCCCTATCATTTGCTCCTCTCTAATTGGTCCCCTCTGCTGTTCTGCGCCCCCTGCAGGGTAATCGAAGCTGTGTGTATCGGTTGGTTCACGGCAGAGTGTATCATCCGTTTCCTGGTGTCTCGTGACAAATGTGAGTTTGTTCGTCGTCCCCTGAACATCATCGACCTGCTGGCCATCACGCCGTACTACATCTCTGTTACCGCGACCATGCTGACGGGGGAAAACTCTCAGCTGCAGCGCGCTGGTGTTACACTGCGCGTCCTGCGCATCATGAGGATCTTCTGGGTGATCAAGCTGGCACGTCATTTTATGGGCCTGCAAACGTTGGGCGTGACGCTGAGACGCTGCTACCGTGAAATGGTAATGCTGCTGGTGTTCATCTGTGTGGCCATGGCCATCTTCAGTGCCCTGGCCCAACTGCTGGAGCACGGCCTGGACCTGGAGGCGGGGAATGAGGACTACGCCAGCATCCCCGCCGCCTGCTGGTGGGTCATCATCTCCATGACCACAGTGGGCTACGGTGACATGTACCCTGTGACAGTGGCGGGCCGTGTGCTGGGTGGGGTCTGTGTGGTCAGCGGCATTGTTCTGCTGGCGTTGCCCATTACCTTCATCTACCACAGCTTCGTCCAGTGCTACCATGAGCTTAAGGTCCGCTCTGCTCGCTGCAGCCACAGCCTGTCCACAGACTTCATCAACTGATGACCACGGCGGCGGCCAACATCGCTGTCATCTGGTCAGCTGACCTCCATCAACTTCTTTCATATCATTTACAGCTGTGGTGGCAGTGGTGATTAAGGAAGAGGACTTGGATCTGGAAGGTTTCAGGTTCGAAGCCACCAGCAGCCAATAGTGTAGTGGTTAGCATGCCTGCCTCGGACACAGAGAGAACAGAGAGTCCTGGGTTCCATTCCCAGAGAAACCACGTTTGGTAGCCTGTCTTCCCAAATATGGGATCAATAAAGCTCAAATTATTATTACCACCGTTAATCTACTGACCTCACCAACTGACCACAGTCACCCAACAACATTCAAACGTTCTCCATGGATCACAGTCCACCGTCTCTAACCAAAGTCTACCAACTCCATTCAAAGACAGCAGTTCTCCTACTTCATCATCTCAGTCTCAGCCATCAGTTCCTCCACTGACCTCAGTCCTCTGACCTTTTATTGTATCAAGAACTGTCCATTCTCCAGACTCCTGTTACTGCTGGTCTGAGAACAGGTGGTTGGCGAGAGTCCTTTCACTCTTCACTCACTCCTCGGAGGTGTTTGTTCTCAGCGTTTCAATCACTGACCACAGTCCACCAACTTCCTCATCCACTCTGGTCGAGGACCAATTGTTCTCAGGAGTTTTACACTCGCGACAGTGAAGAAGCGTTAGTTCTGACTGATCATCTGCTGTGGTCAAACTGGACACGAGCGCAGTGTCCAGTGTTAGTCGACGACGGCGGAGGACGATGTGGTGATCTCAGATCAGTGTTTGTTCAGGTCTGTCTCAGGTTTTTTTTTTTTTTTTGAAAACTCAGTCACCTAAAAATAATGAGGACCCATAAAGATGTGAATGGAGCAGCTGCTGATGTGTTTTGGTGTCTGTGTCATCAGAGTAAAAAATGTGTAAATAAAGCAGAAACAGTACCTCCTGTGGTGAGAGGGAACACCAACAGTTTCCCAGGCAACAGCAGCCTTAGCAGGAAGTTGAAGTGTCAGAACATTTGTGGTTTCAGAGCGGCTGGAGTGAGAACACAAATAAACACACACACACACACGCACTTTCAGCAGTGTCTCTATTATTAGTGATTATTTAATTCAACAGGATTTGAAATAATAACAGACGACTATAGATGATTATTTTGTGTTGTGTATGTAGATGAGAGGAGACAGACTTACCTCTGTGTTTTTCTGTGAGTTAATAAATGCTGATCCTCTTTATTATCCGTCTCATATTGCAGGATTACCAGGGATTACCTGTTCTCAGCTGCTGTTAATAATCTTTTATGCTCTCTCTCTCTCTCTCACACACACACACACACACACACACCGTGTATGTACTGTATATGTGTGTGTGTTGCTTGGCTACTTCCCCTGATGAACCCTGCTAGATAAAGAAAGTCATAAACTGAAGTCATTAAAACACACACCTTCAAACACATCGACCTCTCTCTGTCTCCCTCTCTCTCTCGCTCTCTCTCTCTGTCTACATCACACACACAAACAAATGAACGGACTTTCATTTGCTTGTACAGCCAAACCAGAACTTTTATCATAAACCTTTGACATCTGATCTAATCTAACGACGACTCTTCTGATCGTCTGCAGTTCAACCAGTGCTTCATAATGAAGTTATTCATTTGGATCAGGAGATTAGGAAACACACACACACACACACACACAGACACTATCACTAAAACACTGTGTAGGACTGTGTCACTGTAGAGGCTCTGTTACCATGGAGACAGCGATGTGATTCTGGAGGTGAGGTTACAGACCACACACACACTGTGATCGTGGAACTTATGCTCTCCTGAGGTGTCACTGAAGTTATCGGCCTCGGCCCAATCAGAATTTGTAGCATTCAATAACTGAAAAACGAAAGTCTTCGGCAATCTTCAGCCAGGAAACCCTCACATAAAAACTCTAACATTAACAAGCCGACTCAAATCAACCAATCAGTGAGTGCAACTCCACACATGACCAAAAAAAAAAGAAAAAACAAAATGGACAAAATCAACATATCTTGACACTGTAATGATATCATGTCATCCATGGATTTACAAAAATGTTTTTACAGGCAACGCTAGGAGTGAGGCTTAAAGCTGGGCAACACTACATAAAATTGTCTCCGTTCCAAAGACGACTGAGGTTCAGCTCAGGTTGTTGTATAAATATATGTTTATTCTAACCACCATAATCAATCAACTTTCTGAGAGTTTGTTGAACTGAAACAAGTGACCTGTGTGAACACACGCCGAATTCGTGATACCTAAGAAATCACACTCAACCACTAGGGGGCAACCAGTGCGGTTATCTTAAAATTAGAAGTTAAATCTATATAATAAAATAATTCAATTAATTCAGCCTGAATTCAGATGATAAACCTCCATTCAAAGGCAGCTTTTAGGCCTTTGACTCTGGTTAAATGTTTTCCTAAAAACATCTTAAAATGTTGTTATTGTTAATATTATTATTGTGATTATTATTATTGTTAATATATTGTTAATATCAATATATCACAAATCAAAAATCACAACAGATGAAATACTGTTGAAAAATGACTTTTTTATATTGTCGTTCTGTATTAAAACAAATTACTTAGTGAATTTAATTACCAAAATCGTATTAATTTTTTTTTCCACGTTGAAAGTAAAGCTGAGTCGTTATGTTCTGGTTTATCAGCACTTCAAAAACCTGAACTATCTCTCCACAAAACACAAAGAGTGACTAAGCAGGAACGGGCCGTGTTCAGGGGGACGGGCAAAGTGCACACAAACATGCCCCTGTGTTTGTGTCCGTGTTTGAGCAGCAGATACAAAAGTGCAGCATCGTCACAGTCTGTTCCCAAAAGCAGAAGAATGAAGACCGCTGTGCTGATGCTGTTGCTGCTGCTGCCACTTTGCTCAGGTAACACGTCTTTAACTTCGCTAACACACTTCCTGACCACTGGTCAAAAACCCCACCTCACAGATGAAGCGCACTGACCTCACTCCTCACTTCTGTTCCAGCTCAGGACTTTTACATCGAGTGTCTGGGCTTCGACTTCCTGATGGTCCAAAACCTGGTGCTGCAGTGCAGAGGTCCGGTCCAACAGGCCTGCTACACCAGAGGTGAGGTCCACTTGTGTTTGCTTTTTATGACGTCCAACTGGAACAGTACAGTCAAAGGATTACAATATATCACAACACACAGTTTTTTTTACAGAAACACTGTTTAAAAATATATGTAAATTCTACAAAAAACACTAATAACACCAGTCCAGCAACAAACTAAACAATATATACTGTATATATTTAATTTACCGTAACAGTACAGGTGAGCTACTGATGACCCCTCAACTTCTAACGTCATATTGTTTTGACACATCACCTTTATCTTAGAAAACGTGACGTGACCAAACACAGGACGTCACTAACGGTTTTTGTTCAGGACATTTAACAAATAAAAATCTCAATTTTCTCTAACGTTCACCTTTCGTCGCCTAGTAACATTTCTATGGCTAGTTAGCTCACTAGCCTCCGTCACGGACATCATCACTTTTAACGGAACACCAGATAACGTCACACGATGTTTGTTGACCAACTGTTGCTTCCTTTACGGTCAAATACATTATTTTTATATAGCTGATGTTAAAAAAACAAACAACGTATAAACTTATATTGTCTTTGTTGACATACTTGGAGCTTCTGCTAAAGTCTGAAGTTGATGCTTGGCTAATGTTCTCGCTAATAAGCAAGTAAAATTTCGGAGAATGAAACGTCACAGAGCTAACGTAACTGATCACGTGACTATTCACAACATGTTTTCAGATACCGGAGAGAAGGGCTGCACTCCGCTGAGAAACTGTGTCAAACGTGGATGGAGCTGCTGCAAAACCAATCGGTGCAATGCTTGACCCATAGCGAAGGTCTTCAGTCTTCATTGTGACGGGCCAGACTTTTACCCAGAATGCAATACAATGTTTGATGTGTATGAACTTCAAATAATGAGTGAACTTAAATAAAGCCTCAATAACAGACCGGGTTGGTTATTAGTTTGATCCATTGGCTCAGTAGACTAGGACAGTTGGGTAGATGAGTTAGTGTAGTCAGGATAACTAGGTTTGGTCAGTTAAATCTTAATTTAAAAAAAAAATCTTATCCTTTAAAATGTTATAAATCTATTAAATTAAAGCTTTTTCTTTTATATGTCCAGTTACTTACAAAGATCTAACCGAACGAAATAAAATACTTAAAAATATAAAATAATTACATTAAAATGTTCTAGTTCGGTATTTTTGGCTAAAAATATAAATATGAACATTTTGTATTAAATGTATAAAATGAAGATTATTGCAAGGATATGTGATGTGGCCCTCTGCTGGTGACTTGGAGTATCGCAGTATAGTTGGCTCAAATGTCGAAGCTTTCTTGATTTCCTAAATTAGTTATTTTCAAAATAACAAATTAACATGTCTTTACAGTTACAGTAACTCCAACACTGGCTTAAGATGAAGAGTAGAACAAAACATTATACCTGGGAGATCAAACGACAGTGAGTCCTGGTCAGCGATTGTGGTCAGACTAAATTTGAATATTTGGCAAAATGGGAAACAAATTAAACCTCTGTTTTGTCTATTTGAAGGATTTATTTGCATTTTTCTGTTGAAGTCTTCAGTACAGTCTGTCACCTGACAGGAATGCATGAGAGAAGAAATGATTGGCTCAAAACAGTCACATGAATATTGTTGTCATCATCATCATGACATCACAACTGAACACTTTAAAAACTCCCCAATCCTGGCCCCTACTCTACCCATACAATACTGACCTCGCCCTCTACCCCCCAGCCCACAGACCCCACCCCCTACCTGACGTCCAGGTAAATCCCGACTTGCGTAAAAGGCCGTCATAAGAGACGAGCGTAGAAAAGATGAAGATACACTGAAGAGTAATAAAAAGACAAGAAATTCAAAACCCCGCCCACCCCCGAAGCCCCGCCCACTGGAGTGACATCACCTCCCTGACATTCAGAAAACATTTGAAAATGGTCCTGAAGAGACAAAAACAATCAGCAGTCATCAGCGAGTCACCCAAATGTCGCCAATCACCGGACAGGATCCCGAGTGTCCTGTCGCCTGATTGGCCAAGATGCAAGTGGTGGATGTTTTTCCTTTTTCTAACCAGTGTAGCTGAGGCGCTGCTGCCCCCAGTGGTCAACAGAAATATACACAGATACGTCTGCAGTATATACAAACAGATCCCAACAGAGAGAGGGCTCACTCTGATCTACCGCTGCTAAAGAAGAAAACAAAAATAAAACATGTCTGTCACAGCTTTTACTCTGGGGGGGGTTCCGTGTTTTTCCTTTCAATTCCTGTTAACTAGATTACACTGTCTCAATACTTCCCACTGCCTTCTTTTCCTTTGACCTGCATCTTCACAAAACAAAAACAACTGCACTGACTCAGCCCTGCAGTTGGCTGCATAAAAGAGAAATGCATGCTTCCACAAGCTTTCACAGAATTGTTTCAGAAACCACTGCGTTCCTGAGTTTCACATTAAAAGCCCATTTGAAAAAAAAAAAAAAACTTCAGCAAAGTTATGACATCTTTAAAAAGTGTGGAGTCAAACAGTGAAATGGAGTTCAACATTTGCAGCTATTTCTTAGCTAGAAAAAATGAAATATTATCTACATGACTGATAGATGTTTCATGGTTCAAACAGTAAAAAAGATGGATTATTTTAGACGTTCCGAAAGCTCCAGTGTGTAAGAGTTGGTGACAACTAATGTGAGACGACAACATTGAACTCCTCCGATCACCTTCCCATTTTCCAAGACTGGAGGAAAACTATCAAAAATAACTACTAAAAAATAAAGGTTCACTTCCTTATTCAAAGTGTGACGTTCTATGACACAGATTTATTCTCCTTTCTGGTTGCTGCAGAACCAAAGTGGTGGACTCCCAAAAGACAAGGCCCATGATTTAAATTATTATAAAAGCTTATTCTAGGAATTATTCAATCGTTGCCTTCCAAACATTACAGACTGGAACCTTAACATTTTCCACTTCCTGTTCACCTTCTCTGCCCCCAGTGGTGAAGAAAATGTCACCTGAGACACAGCTGTGGTACTGATGGACAGAAGGACGTCTTCCGTCCGTCAGTGAGACAGAGGTATTTCAGGTGATGTCCTCCCTGCTGCCATTCTCTGCTCCAGGGGTCTCAAAACTGTGACATCACACATCTGCTCGTAGAAAAATGCTCTCGAATTTAACGTTCTCCAATGGTTAAATAACATAGTGATCCATTGTTGAATGCAGACAACTAGTTACACAGTACAACCCATCAATGTCAAACAGGAAGTGATGTCACAGTATTGCTACAGCAGCAGAATGCAGCATGACCACTTCCTGTGTCCTCAGAAGTCAGATTACACTGAAAAACCACCAATGCTTCTGTGACACTGATCAAATCTGATTTTTTTTTCTGAGGTTCTGAATAAAGGCCAGACTTGTCTTTCCTAAAGGATGTTGTAAGAAGTGACTTCAAGAATTAGGTCGCATGTCAACTGCAACCACTTCCTGTTTTCAGAGAAACAAAGTTCAATTGATAACCAGCAATGGTTCCACTGTGACACTTTAAGGGCGCTGACAAAAAAAACAAAAAAAAAACCAGACCCTTTCTTTCTGAGGTTCTGAATGAAGCTCTGGAATTCAGGGTTTTCTAACAAAGGTTAAGTGTAATGACCTCAGACTCAGAGATGTCATACTATCTTGTCACATATATTTGACAAAAAAAACAAACAAAAAAAAAAAACATTAAAAACGTATATTTTTTTCTGAGGTTTTGAATAAAGCTATGCAGCTCTGCTGTTCTGATGGAGGTTTTAAAGTCAGATTATGTTTCATCACAGCAGCTGAATTCAACACATTCACTTCCTGCTCTCAGAGAACCAGGGCAAAATAGAAGTTAACCACCGTGACATTAATGGAACTTAACGACAGACACTTTATCAATGAGGTTCTGAATTCCTAATGGAGGTTTGCGGTGAAGAAACTGGTCCGACTTGTTGTGGACCTGGACCTGGTCTGTGGCTTCCTGCCTGAGCCGGGTGTACTCTGAAGTGAGGACTAAAGACTTTCCACTCGTTTAGTTCAGACCGGTCCTCACAAAGACCGGATCTGTACCAGAACTTTCACACATCTGCGGAACGGGCTTTCTTCTTTACGAGGGCGGAGTGAGGGGCGGCATGCCCTCGTCGCTGGGCGTGGCTGTGTCGTCACTGGGCTCCAGGCTGTCCTTCAAACTCACCGTGCTGTCCGAGGGAGGAGGAGTGCACTCCGAGTGAGGCGGGGTCAACTCTGAGGCCGGAGGGGCCAGCTCTGTGGGCGGTGGGGTTTCTGGTGAGGACTGGGTTCCGTTGGCTGTCGGTGGAGGGTCGGGCTTCTGTGTGACAGCGGCAGGAGGTGCTACGCTAAGGGTGTGCTCCACCTTGCGGTGGGTAGAGTTAGAGAGGAGGGCGCCATGGAGACTGAGAGATGATTTTTCCACCAAACGCCACTGCATGATGCTGGTGTCTTTCCCGCCGGTGGAGATCAGGTGACTGTCATTATGCAGGAAGCTGACATTGGTCACATGACTGCTGTGAGCACTGTATTTATGGCTGGGAGCCTGTGAACACAGAGGTGATGGAAGCCTGAATAAAAACGTTCTTGAAAACAGTTTCTTTCAAACAGGGCGTGTCCGACCTGGTCACTCACCTTGGCAGTGGAGCACGGGTAAGAGAACAGGTGAACTTTGCAGAAGTCGTCAGCGAGGGCGATCACTTTTCTGTTGTGAGATCGGATCAACGCATTGATGTCGGTGCCATCCGAGCCTTCGGGCCACACCCCTAAAACAAACATGCACCATCTTGTGTCATCTCGTGTTCCATCTTTGTGTTCTCTACTAAAGTCTAGTTCAGTCGACTGACACGGAGAGAGATTTGTAAAAAAAATGAAATAACTTAAAAAATGAGGGTTATGTTAAAAGTTAGAAAGAATTGACATGAGGTTAGGACTAAGGTTAAATACGGCGGGTTAGAGTTCGCCACAGGACGGGTTCCATTTTAAATTGAGTTGGTCAGTGTGTTGAAGGTTTAATGAATACTAGACAGGGTTATCTACACTTAACTAAGTACGGTTCTCTAAGGTTAGCTGGTCTGGATACTTGGTGAGAACTAGTTGAGTTGAACTCAGGTCAGGACTAGTTTGGTTTGTCAGGGTGGAGTTAGTGAGGAAAGTCTATGTACAGGCAGCGAGTCACCTTGGTACAGTTAGTAATGTCTATCTAGGTTCAGCTAGCTCTGGTTAGTTTTGCTAAGCTAAGCCGGGCTAGCTACAGACGTTAAAGGTGAGCCGGATATGGTCGCTCAGTGTGGTCCAACCCGTGGTTAGGGTTGTTTCCATTTAGTTTGTGAAAAGCTTACGAAATGTTAGAGTTCAGTCACACGTTGCCGCTCAGGTCTCTGCTCAACAACAAGATTGAATACCAGAATAAACCAGTGTTAATAATAATGTAGTATTTATGAAAATTCAAACATTTGAAACAAAAAATGCAACAGCTTTGATATTTTCACTTTTAAAGTGAAAAAAGAGGCTTCAAGTTACTGGGGACATGCAGTTCAGAATGTTTTAACTGTTATGTTTCTACTTTAGAGGAAATAATTCCATAATATACACAAGGACGTAGACATAAAGACTATTATATATTATAAACGTATGCTTCAAAACACCCTCTCATTCTGTTGGGATCTGCAAAATATCTCCATAACAATAGTATTCTTCCTAGAGACAAATTCCCCTCAAGTATCTGTTCCAAGAAACACACACAGACACACACACACCCCCACACACACAGAGGTGGAAGCTTACCAAACACGTGGTATCCCAGGACACAGGTGTACGTGGCCCAGTCGATGTCTTTACAATCAGACCGGTTTCTGATCAGGTTACAGTTGTTTGGAACGTCCCCTGAAAGACATACAGGAATAACCAGAAACAGCCAGAGACACAGCGGTATTCAGATTACAGGCAGTAAAGTAATCTGATTACTCACAGTAGAGGATCTCATAGTCTCCAGAGTTGGACATTATGAAGTTGTTGTCAGGCGACCAGTCCAAGTGTGTGATGTAACTGGAATGTCCCTGTGAACAAAACAAAGGCACGACTATGAACCATCATCACCACCACCACCATCATCATCATCACCACCACCATCATCATCATCACTGTCATCATCATCTAACTCCTGTTCATCACTACGACCACCGTCATCATCTCACCGTGCACTTTCCGTAGCGACTGTACTTGCGTCCTCGCTCCGACACGTTGTACAGGTAAATAAAATTGTCGTGAGAGCCGACGGCCAGCAGAGTTCCGTCTGTAAAAACAGAAAGGATCATGGGAACTGCAGTTGACGCCTGCGTCTGTGGTCGGACCATTTGAACGTGGACTCACCGACAGAGAAGCGCATCACTGACAGCTGCTCATTTCCATCCGTGTGGATCCCAACCAGGTCTGTGGTCTCTGCATCCAGGAGGTACCACCTGACGGCGAGTGGGCGGAGACACAGGGGGAGGAGTCATGTGAGATGCGTAAACAAACTTAAAAGACAAGATGCTATCTAAAAAAAACTGATCTGAACTCACTTTCCTGAGTGTGTTCCTATGGCAACCACTGCTCCACTGGGATGGAAATCAGCACAGTGTCCATGTTCCTGTGAAACAGAACTGGGATCACTCATGTGAACTGATGGACTGAGAGAGAGGGGGCGAGAGCGACAGAGGGGAAGAGAGAGAGAGAGAGAGAGAGAGAGACAGAGAGAGAGACTCTCTCACCTCCAGTGTGCGGCTCCACTGCAGACTGTGATTTTTTGAATCCCACAGACACACTAGTCGATCCTGAGCACACGTGAGGAACAAGTCTCTGGAGGGATGAGACGCCAAACCCCACAACTCGTCTGTGTGTCCCTGAACACAACACATTAGTATATTACCACACACTGTCACCAGTCTCCACAGCTAGAGGGAGATCAATTAATCTGCTTGCCAATGGACCCATAACATCCAAGTCTATTGAACTAAAAAAAAAAAACAACAAAAAATATAAAATGTAATTTAAAAAAGTATTTGAAGCATTTTTTACAGCTGACTGTAAATGGTGCTAGTCTTAACAAAGCATTTTTAAGCATTTTGTATTTATAAAATCTACTGATGCAATCTGAGAGATCAGTATTGGACCTGGGTATCAGTAGACATTTTTTACTTTTTTTTTATAGACCACACACTGTCACCAGTCTCCACAGCAATCTGAGAGGTCAGTGTTGGACTGTACTGGTTATCAGTAGACTTTTTTTTTTAAATAATTTAATTTTTATATTTCTATACATTAGGTGGCACTAGAGACAGGTGGCCTCACCTGAACTTCCACCTGGAAGCCATCGTTGAAAGTTCCTCTTAGGATGAAGTTACGAGAAGTTCCAACTAGAAACTCCTCCCCCTTTCCCTCAGACACCGCTCTGATGGCTCCGTACTGATCTGGGATCTGAAGACACCGACACAAAGAGCCCATGATTACAACTCAGAGATCACCTGGCTCTGAATCTGCAGGTTGACTTGTGTTTCCCAGAGGAGAATGGGAGGCAGATCTCATTTTTCCAACGTATGATTTTAAAGTGTACAGTGTGCTAAAGCTCCGGTGCACATATCTGTACTGCACCTCGATGTCCCGCTCTGCTCTAATCTCATGGTCCCACAGGATGATCTTGCGGTCTTTTCCTCCTCCGGTCAGGAGAGTGCCACTCCTCATCTCACACATGCAGAAAACGCTGCCCTCGTGAGCTTTGACCTGCCGAGTGATCTGGAACGCTGCCCAGACACAGATTTGTTTGTGTGAACCACATGGTATCATCACATCACATCACATGAGTTTGGTTCTTCACAACCTGGTACTGGTCCTAGGCCTCTCACCTCTGGGTCCTTTTCCAGTTGTTGTCTCGTTGGGGTTCCTGGTCCAGACCAGCAGGACTCCACCAGAGTCTCCAGTCAGAATGTCTCCTGAGCTCAGGAAGGACAGACACTGGATGAACTTTGGCTTTTCATATTTCTGAAAAAAAAAGGAAAAGAGACCGGACTTAGACTAGGCTTAGATCAAGCGCTGGACCAGTTTAACCTGGACTCCAAAGGTGAAGCAGACCTCACCCAGGACTACAGACATGAAACAGGACTTCACAGAAACACCAGGAAATACAGACTGTTTGTTCTTACTCCAAAAATGCCCTGTTTACGGGCCAGTGATGTTCCGGTCCAGGTCCAGAAGAAGATGTGAGACTTCCCACAGGTAACGATGGTGTTTGGATCAGTTGGATGAAACTCCACATCCAGAACCACCTCGTTTGTTGTCTACAAATCAAATAAGAAATGACTTAGAACCCTAAAAAAAATGATAAACCATTTAAATATTTTCACCAATGAAAAAAAGCCCTCTACCTTGATTTCTGCTATTTTGGACTTCTTCTGCCAATCCCACACGGTCAACATGTGATCGTTACAGTCGTCGATCACACTGAGGTGCTGACCCGAGTCCTGGAGGGAGAAGTTAGATCACCTCAAACTGTGACTCTTAGCAGAATGGTCTCATACAGAAAGTATCATGGGAAATAGTTCAGGCCTGTGCTTTTCTAACTGTGAGGTGGATTTGTTCCACAAATATGAGAGAGGACAAACAGTTCTACTGCACATTTTTATAAGAAGAATGGAAGACATTTTTTTGTTCATTTTTGTAACTTGAAAACTAAAATAATATGTATAAAATGTCAAAATAAGTGATTTTTGCAACTTGAAAACTAAAATAATAATAAGTATAAAATGTCAAAATAAGTGGTGTTTATGAATGTGATTGTGTGTGTTTAAGTGTATGGTGTGTATGGGTGGGAAGTGGTTCTCACCGCTTTAGAAAACGCCAACGAGCCGACGCCTCGTTCAAACGTGCCCATACCGATGACCTGCAGCGTTGAGAGACTGACGCTGTCCCAGACACGAACATGAGGCTGCAGCGGCTGAAACAGACGTGGACAACATTTTCATTAGTGTTAAGAAAATGTTCAGCTGCAAGGATGAAATATATATATATATATAAAAAAACTCTTCATACACGACCGTCCTTGTCCACTCCTGCGATCTGTCCTGTAGCGATCCGGATCTTATCAGGATGGATGGCCAGACTGACAGGGTCACAAAGACGTGATGTCATTTGAGAAAAGGAGAGAAAAGGTGTGTGTGTGTGTGTGTGTGTGTGTGTGGGGTGTTCTCACCACTTGACGCAGTCCGTGTGTCCGAGGTAATGTCTCTGAGTGCGTTCTTCATAGTTGAAAAGAACCACGACAGATGCAATGAAGTAAACGATCTCTCCAGTTGGAAGAAGGTAAATATTGGCCCTGCAGTCTCTGCCACGGTAACCATACCTGCAGGGGGCGGAGTCAAGGAAACCACCGGAAGACATGGGGAGATTTTCCAATGAACATACAAATTATCTGTATATCTCTCAGATAAACTTCTGAAGTTCCACAGATGAGAGGAACCCTGATCAACACACTGACTGAACTGCCTTCTGAGGATCTACTGATAGTTTCATTTAAGATCATTTAAGGGTTTTTTTTTTAAGGATACACCCATTCCAGCTTCAGGCGTTCTGACGGGAGCTCAGTTCTAACATCGTCATAGTTCTCCACATCTGACGGGTAGAACATGGTGACGGGTCGACCACGGATGAACATCTTGACATGGTTTCCCTCTGAGATAAGATCGGATTAAGTTACAGACAAGGTCGAATCACGTGACATCAGATATCAGCTCATCACAGCACAGCGGCACGAAAAGGTGAGATTTATGACAAAAGAAAAAAAGCAACACACAGCTGGCAGGAGACTCAGTCACAGAGAGAGGAACTGATATCAGTAAAAACAGGAAGTGGAATTTTTGGTCTTCATTAAAAATCAGAATCAATATTTAAACATTTCAACCTAAAATGATCACAAACTACAGAACACCAGCGTCCAATCACAGTTTCTTTCAGTACTATTGAATTTCCCAGTGCATAAAAGATAAAACACCTGTTTGACCTTATATGGAAGTGAGTGGAGCCAGACAGGTGTGACATCACATGCATCATTTGACACAGTAGAATAGAGAGAGCAGGAGGAAGAGCAGGACGGATGCTTTGAAGCAGAGACACAAGAAAAACAAAAAAAAAGCAACGTGAATGGTTCAGAGCAGAAACAGGAAGTGTTACTCAAACGTCAGATTGTTGTTGGCAAACTCATTCTTTTAACTGCTAGCCTGTAGGGTTGTCTTTAGCCAGTATTAGCTGTTTTGAACATCTTTGCTAGCCCACCTAGCCCGCCTGCTAGCTTCTGTTTTGAACATCTTTGCTAGCCCACCTGCTAGCTTGTTGTTAATCTCTTTATTTTTGACATACAGTAGTTACAGTCAGCAGGTTGTAGGTTAGCCTATTTTCTTGCCGTTAGCATGTTGTTATCTTGTTGTAATGTTACTGGTATGTTGAAATTGAAAAGGTAATGTTTACCATTAGTAAACAGTTGTTAATCTGTTATTACAGCAGTTGACAATAGATTATTAAACTGGTTATTAGCCTGGGAGCTAGCTGGTAGCTTGTTAGCTAGCTAATCTCAATCAGGACTCACCAGCTTGGCTGTTTTTCTCTCGGGTTGACATTTTGGCTGCTCAGAGACAAAGACATGGTCACTCAGCAACAACGACGACTCCAACAAATGAATGAATTCACAACACGAAAATAATTGGTGGTGATGATGTTGAATGTTTGGCAACACAATTGATAAAGGTGTAATTACCGTGACTGACCACAGGGTCTCTGTGTCTGAAAAGAAACAGAGGAATTTTATCAGGCTCACATTTGACACACATAAAATGATCCATGAATTTAACTTCAACTTCCATGTATTTTCTATGTGAATGAAGATTTTTCAAACAATGCAGCTGTGTATTTAGACAATAACCTCTCAGTTCTACTAGCAGAATCCTGGGAAATTCCTCCTTGGCTGCTCCATCATTTCTAATAGTATGTGTGGGCTCTCGGTGCAATTTCTGAGGCACTCATTGTATTACTACAAACTCTGTATTCCTATTTTTTAGTCATTGATCAACGTGTATTGATTACTATTAGGTCATTGGATCACTGATACCTCTCTGCTGTCTTCACCACCTTAGCAAGCAGCTTGGACGTGGAGGCGGCCTTCACCAGTTTGTTTCGGCTCTCCTCCGAAGTTTCCCAGGAACTATGGGAACGTTCCATGCCTGAGGAAGAGGAACGTTTCACACTGGCTCCTCTGAGTGAGAGAAAACAACAACAACGCAGAGAGAGATGCAGAAAGAGAGAGAGAGAGACAGAAGAAAATCATGTTTACACACGCATAACAGTTCAGCTGGTTTACCACACCAAGCAAAATGACACCACCTCAGAGAGAAAGGATTAAATGCTGACTCCGCAGATAAGGTTTTCATGCAGAATAATTAAGAATCAACCTAATATCTTTAATAATTAACAAGCCTACTCTATTAGGCTAGTACTGACTTATAAACTACAAAACATCTTTTTTTCATCTTTCTACTGACTTATAAACTACAAAACATCTTATTTTTAACATCATAAAAAATGTGAACCTGCTTAAATGGTAAAATACTGACTATCAATATTACCACTAAACAGAAACACAGACTTTCTGACCAGGCATTTACAACTGGCACCTAGAGGAGCAGGTCTGAACAGATTAGCTCTGGGTTGAACAAATTAAGTTAATAAAGGTGTTAATGGAAAGAACTGAGAGGGTTAGTCAGTTTAATAGCACACATTTAGGTTTCCTAAACTCTCTAGAAAGACAGGAGTTTAGAAGTGAAGCGTTTATCAAGGCTGCAGAAAAGTCCACGTTGAACCAATGAAGCAGAGTTACAGAGAAGACCGACATAATCCTCCGGAGAAACCAGGACCAGAAAATGGACTAGTAGTCAGGAGGAATAAATGGGCTCCATGATCTCCACCTTTCAGGTGAAGAATCAATGAGAGTCCAGGGTCCTTGAGAACCTCACAGATCTCCAAGAGACTCCTGGACCTCCACCAGAGTAAACAGAGGCTCCCACAGTCCTTCTCATGCCACTGGTGCAGCTACTGCAGCCTGGCCAGGTTAACTCAGCCAAACAGGGGCACCTGTAATTACCAGGTGGTCCAGGTGTGGCTGCAGCAGAGGAGGACCATGGGACCTGAAGTAAGGCGGGGTTAGTGTACACAAGCAGAGGGGCGGGGGTCAGAGGAGTGCCAGCAGAAAGTGAGCTCAAACTCAGTTGACGAATGGAAGTGAAACCTTTTTAGAGGGGCCTGGCCTTTACTGGTGTCAGTGGACTGGGCTGGTCTTTGTTGCTGAGGGGTTTGAGGGGTGGAGGGAGGGACAGGGGAGGAGGGAGATGGAGTCATGTCCTTGGGGTGAGGAGGCTCCTCCCCCTCCTGGATCTTCTCCATCTCAGAGCGAACTTCTTTTTTCTTGTCAGATCCACTGTGGATAAAACCAGGACCATGAGAGACAAGGTACAGACCTGCAGCTGGACCATGGACACCCACAGGTAGTCCACTGGACTAGAACCTCATTTTAATGGGACTATTATCCAGTCATTGGTACTGAGTTAGTATTAGTGTACTGCTAACCAGCAGTAAGTCTAGTTACTTGGATTGAATTTAAAGTCAGAGCGTCATCGTCGTGTCATCTGATTAGATCGTAGTCAACGTCATGTTATTACTCATAATTTGGTTATTCCACCTACACACGGTGGTGTCGTACTATAGCTTGTGGTTACAATAATGTGTTTTATTACAGGTAACCACTTAATCACCATATAATGATAATAATTATAACTAGCAACCTTCCATTACAGAACTTTGATTACGCCCTAATATACTTCTACCTGTCAGATATTTGGACACTTTCTGCAGTTAATCTTATATTATATCCTTATGTTTTAACATTGGGTTTTTGTTGGTGAGCCGTCACCCACGGACTTGATCTCGACACCAACAGAAACCAACAGGAAACCTCCTGCGTTTTGATGTGACTCAGCTGTGAAAAAAAAACTCCTGCGTTTTGATGTGACTCAGCTGTGGGGAAAAAAAGACAAATGACGACCTCGTTCTTCTACCTCTTGGCGGCAGATGACAACGTCTCCTTCCTGGTGACGGAGGTGGAGTCACGTTTTCGTCCCGGTGTCCCTCCGTTGGTGATACAGGACATGGAGTAGGCTTCGCGCATCGCGCCGCCACCTGTAGAAGAAGTGGTTAATGATGCGGAACCACGTTAAAATTAGAGTGGAGTTTGATAAACAAATGTTACCTTTGCCTCCGTGTTGTTTTTTAGCCACTGCAGCTGAGGCATCTTCAGAGGCAGCGAGGCGACGGAGGACGTCCGCGAGCGCCGCCTTCATGACGGTCAACTCGTCCTCCTGCTGCTGGACACGAAGTTCCAGAGCCGAAAGACGGTCGTTGACGTCAGAGACGCTTGCTGCGGACATGCTGTCGTCTGCAGGAAGACACGATGATCCGGTTACAGGTAATCTGATTACACTGTCATCTGCAGGGAGAATCATTTCATCTATTACAGGTGATCTGGTCAAACCATCGTCCTCAGGAGTATATGATAATGTAGTTACAAGTAATCTGATTACACCGACATCCGCAGGAAGAACAATTTATCATAAAACTGGTAATCTGATTACACCCTGATCGGCAGGAAGGCATGTTAATGTCATTATATGTAATACAATTGCACAGCTTGACATGAAGATCTGGTTACATGTAATCGGATTACACTGTCCAGTGCCTAAAGTCATTTATCCAGTGTCTGATTGCAGTGATTTCAGTAATCCAGCGCCACAGACTGGTTACAGTTGATCTCATTCCATCATCCTATTTTATAGAAACATGATCATCTGGCAACATGTAATCAGATTACACTGGGAGACACGTTTGTTAAACCATAATCTGATTGTGACATCCTTAGCTTGAGAACGTAACAATCTGATCAAACTTTTTCCCATTAAACTTCAGTCTGAGTGACAAGAAGATATAATTACAGGTACACACACACATAACTTAACACCTTGGTCTGCAGGGAGGCTCCATGACATTACTGAATGCCATCGGATTACAGACACATCCACTGAGAGACTGGTAACCCAAGTCAACAGACAATTGTAAAGAAAACAAAGAGCAGCCCATGCCTTTAGAGGAGAACGCTGCCTTTTATGGATTAATCCAGAATATTTGATATTTGAAAATACTTCAGGTAGTCCGTTTAACAGTTGGAGGAGGTAATCTGATCAACTCTGGTGTGTAGTAAACCGAGTATGCTGTAAGGAGGACGCAATGACTTATTCACCGGTGATCAACTGACATTAAGTCTTTCTTCAAACAGGATAATTCAATAGACCTCACCAAACCAAAACAGCTTTTGTTGGCCCTTAGGATTTGTCTCCCTTTGGTGATAGTGACGAGTCCGAGTCACTTTTACGTAACCGTTTTTACTTGTTAACCAGTTAACGGACATTTATTAATTCATATTAACCAAACTTTACTCTGGACTGGTCAGTTAATCTCTCACCATTTTATAAAATGAATAAATTCACTGCTGTCAACTAACCCTCAGTTCTCTCCGGTGGTCACAAATACTAGAATGTTCTTTAATCGCCTCCAGGAGTCTCAACTGGACCGTAACACTTGATTTATCGACCTGTCACTGCTCTAGCACTAGTATCAACTCGCCTCAAACAATCTTCACTGGTCACCATTAATTAACTTGTCTTTCCTAGTCGTTGGTGTCTTCGTTAATTCCAATTGTCTTCACTCTCGTGGTTGGCATTAACCCGCCACTAGTTTCTACAAGACTTAACCAGTCTCAACTGAACTGTACCAGTTTTGTTTTAATTTATTAGTCCCTTCCCAGATCTTTGCTATTCTTCGCTTCAGGGGGAGCACTTGCTTCTGCAGCTCTGCATGCACCAGAGGGGCGGGCACACGCTTGCTAATAAATACACCAGTGACACGTGTAAAGCCGCCGGAGGCGCGTGCGTCTTTGACCGTGCGCCCGCGGGCACGGTGATGTCCTGTTGACCCAGTGACGCGAAGGCGGCGCCGACTCACCTAAACTGCCCGTGAATCCGTCCATTTTCCGGCGAAAAAGCGGGAGTCCGCGCCGGAGGCCTGCGGAGGCTCAGCGCACACTTCGGGCCTCCGTCCGGGTTTTTCCACCGCAGCGGGGGGAATAAAGAGGCGAGCAAAGCCGAGTCTGTCCCCGCTTTGCTGCCACCAAGTCTGCGTCCGCGTGAGGCCGAAGATGTGCTGCTTCGATTCGGCTCTGGGTGGAAGAAGAAGCGGCCCCAAGACAAACGGAGAATCGAACAGAGGAGAGAAGCTGCGGAGCAGAGCAGAGACGACGGACCGACGCTGCTGTGCTTCCGACTCCGCCTCCCTGGCAGCTCCCGCTTCCTCTGCAAGCGGAGAAGGGGGAGTTTTTTTTCTTTTTTTAAAATCAATTTTCTTTAAACAAAGAAACAGTGACAAAACTCACTCTACAACATACTTGATTGACGATATAAAGAATCACACCTCTTTTTTTTAATAAAGAAAACATCTGTGTTGTGTCAAATCCCCTCCTTCAGGGACTGTCCGAAACTAATAAAAGTGAAAAAAAAAAATCCCCATGCAGTTCAACTATACACTTATTTTATCCTAAACGCCATGTACTTCATTTGTATGCATTCACCTTTCCTTTTGATTTTATTTATTTTGTTTTATTATTATTTTATACTTTGTTTATTTTGTTTCAATAAGTAATAATAATAACAATAAATAATAATAAAAAAGAGAGAGTTGGAGTAGGTGTTTCTGTTGCCGGTTTACCTTCAAATAAAACCCACCGCGATGAAAAACATTACACACTTTAACTGCTGTTACCCTAATGTCCACGATGTGGCGCCAGAGAAACATTTTCACATTTAAACATTGTTTTATTGGACAAACCGTTGCTGTACTGACATGATTCTACTTTGTAATAAACATTTCAAATGTCATAAAGATTACCAAGGCTTATATATATAAGACAAGTATACAAAAGTATTTTTAAAAGTGATACAAGATATAAAAAGTATACAAGTGAAAGATGTGAATAAAAATGAATTTAAATGCAATGAAATTCAAAAATGTAAAATCCTGAGTGAGACGACTACAAAGATCAATTTAAAAAAATACTATAATCAGAGAAACTAAATTATTTGTGATAAACTGCAGCATCCACATTCTCAGAGACTACAAAGATCAATTTAAAAAAATACTGTACTCAGAGAAACTAAATTATTTGTGTTTTTGTCACTTTGTTCTTCTAAAGCCACTAATATTTACCTTGGTTGAGTTGTTAAAAAGCCTTCTATTGTTGGATTTGTCAGATTTCTTGATGTTCAGAGCTCCACCAGCAGTACGCCAACCTTTAGTCCAACATAGTTCTTTTTCATTCCAACCAATCCCAGTTATGGAACAGTGAAGTCTCTGCTGCTGCTGCTGGAAGCTCTGTAGTCCTGACAGAGAACCACCAACCTGTACAAGCTGAGTATGACCACCAGGAGGTTCTTGATGGTGAAGAATCCCAGCATCTGGTGAAAGATTTTGCAATAGACCATGGCGGTGACTCGCACCACCAGGAACGGACCGTCCTGGATGAACAAGGCTTCTGTGGTGTTCCACATGTCAGTGCTGTGTTTGGTGAAGAAGCTGCTCCTCTGCTCATCCTCACTCTCTGACTTGTTGCTCACCACTGTGTAAAAGAAGGAGGTGAAGAAACCACAGAAGAGAATAAAAAAAAAGTTTTTCATAGTCAGTAACATCTTCACTTTAATAACATCTTTAATAACCTTCACTAACTTCAATCACACATTCACAACCTTTCCTTATTGAATGCAGTACTTCTCAAATTTTATGATATTTTTATATGATAATGTGAGGTGAGAATTACAGACAGTTGTTACAGACACTGACCAGACAGATGGAACGGGAACTGAAGCATGCTCCAGGTCCAAACAGCTAAGACCAGGTAGACCATCTGAGGAGTCTTCTCCCTGCAGAGGAAGAAGAAGAAGAAGAAGAAGAAGAAGAAGAAGAAGAAGAAGAAGAAGTGGACTTTGTCATGAGACTGTATTTGCTTTATAATCTGTGGCACAGAGGAAATACAGGAAGACCCCCTCCCACCTCCCACCCTGACAAAACCACAGTCGTGAAGAATCTCCACTCACTTGACGTCTGACAGTGTTTCACTGGTGAACTCCAGGATGTCTGCAGCTGTGCCAATGAAAATCAAGAGAAGCTGTGACAGCTCTTCACGTGTGACTCCGCCCCCCCGCGGGAGCAGCCACTTTCCTACAATGAGGAGGATGAGCACAATCTGATGAAGAGCTAGGATCCAGTCGTTAGAACAGACGGTGGAAATGGCCTGAGACACGTCCTAAAAAAAAGACACACATATATATAAAACAAAGTCTAATCACTGTTGTTGTTGTTGTTGTTGTTGTTGCTGTGATGTGTTTCAAATCTCAGCTTCAATTAGATTGAGTTTTCCATCCTCCTCCCAAAGTCCCTGAGGTGAAACAGATAATAATAATAATAATAATAATAATAATAATAATAATAATTTAACTACAGAGTACACACTCTGTCTGTCCTTAAAACTTTTGTTCAACTCACCTCTTCTCCGTGACCTTTGACACTTTGAGAGAAGATGATTTATGCATGGCTGTCATATTGTACTCATGTCCGATGACTTTAATTCTTTTCTCGTTATTTGACTGCACTGATGTCTGACTCAAACCATGAGTGTTTCTCTCCGTGAACATCTGACTGTGTGGCGTCACCTTCAGCCTGGTGCTGTAGTTCCCAAAGGTCGTGTTCACCATGAAGGTTGTTCGCACACTTTCAAATGAGTCCAGTTTTCGGCACTTAGAAAAAAAGAAAAAAAAAGACAGAGACGATGAAGAAGGAGAAAGACGAGGAGTAAGTGTAGTGTAGTTTGTGGGACTGTCACACCTCAGTCCTGTTGGCGGCGATCTGCTGCTGTGGATGAAGCTCCAGGAGCCAGATGGAGGGAACGATACTGATGAGGAACAGGAAAATGGGCGGAGAAAACCTGCATCAGATGAGGGTTAGGGTTAGACAACATCAATGTGTACATGTATATTTACCATTAGTTTTAGCACAATTTCAAGTAACACTTCAAGTAATTACTCATGGCCTTCAAGCTGTGTACTTTGTACTGCGGTTGCCAAGCAACGACATTTCATTGCCAGACTCACGGTTTTCTTTGCAATGACTATAAAGAAAGTTTAAGTCTAAGTCAGTTGCGTGTGGTTTGTGATTGAACGCTAATGAAAAAAAAAACTCTTCTGTTTGAAGAGGAATCTTCTCCTCGACTCCTAGAAATCTCAGCTGGAACTAATCACAGCGAAAAGATTTCCTTCCTGTCTTTGTGGTCTTTGACATTGGAGCGGATTTATTTAAAGAACACTCAGTGTTCTTCAACAATGATTCTGAAAAAAAAAACTCTACATGGAGATGGAGTGGAGGGGTTCTTCAATGAAATGGGAAGGAGAGGTTAGAGAAGGAGACGAGGGGTTGTGGGTTTAGGTGACGGTTACTGCGCCCAAGGGGCAAATAAACAATAGCAGCAAAAGGGTGGGGTAGGATGTAGGGGGGATGAGTTTCCTGCAGGAGACTGATAACAAGATTGTTCAACTATGAATCTTGAAAAGGACAAAAATCAGTCACAAATATCTGGACCTCAAAGGGACAAAAATCAGTCACAAATATCTGGAGGTGTACACCTGGGGTGTGCCTTATTTTACACCAACACAAGTATTCACCAGAATGTGTCCGTGAAGGAGAACGAATCAGTTAAACTGATAACCTGTTATCTATTAAAACGATCTTCAAAAGTTATTTTGAAGATAAAGAGCAACAGTGAAGTCAGTGATCACTAACTACTGACAAACAAAAACGAAAAAACAATCGTTCCAGGTTAAAGGGTTAGTAGGAGGAAAAAATGCAGGTGAGACAAACCAGAGTCTGTTATGACTTGATGACATCACTCATTCAAAGATGACATCACTCATTAATTCACCACAAAGACCCAGAAAGAGCGGGATCACACCATTTGTAATCTTCCCCTCGCCTCCTCTTCAGAGTGAAAATCATCTCCAGGACCAGGGGCAGGAGGAGCAGCAACAGGAACCAGTAGAGGAGATCTTCCTTCACCGAGGTCACCCTCCAGACTGCGCACATGCACACCAGGATGAACAAGGCTCTGGTGGTGATGGCACACGTGGACCTCAGCAGAGTCATGATGAGAACAGAACCCGGTTCTGCTGCTGCTGCTGCTGCTGCTGCAGTCGTGGTGTGTGTACAGCACGGACACACACTGGACTCTGTGTTTTGTGGAGTTTTGGCAAAGTTTAAGCCCCGCCCATTTGAGCAGTCACTGGCTCGCTGAAAAGTGCCACGGTATCAGGAAAACACACAAAGAGGGGAAGGGAAACCCCCCATCTTCGGCGAACATTTTTTCAGACGAAATCACACTTTGCTGATCGTTCACATAGATAGAGGTGCTGTGGTATTGATGTGTTTTTTCTGGTCTCTAAAACCTTTTTTTTTCATTGTTAACTATTCATATTTTTGAGGGGTTTGTTATTTTTTATTTATTTATTTCGAGTTTTTCTATTGATTTATCGTTTCCCAGAACACAATCCAGTGGCGCTTGTCATGATGTGAGCTGGTGACCTCTGCTGGATTCTTAGGAGATTACAATTGAGTCAATGTTTGGCCATTAGAAACAGTCCTTAGTTAATTCATATCCGTGCAGGCTGTTTCAGACCTGTTACAGGTTACAGGTTGTTACATACATTTACAGACATTTGGATGTCTTCACCGTAGTCCACGGTGAAGGGAAATGGCGTGGGGGTTGATGAATGCCACCCGTGTGCAGCCTGTGAACAGGAACTCACACGTTATTTTTATTTTTCCACAGTCGAGATGTTTGATATTAATCACTTTCATTACACTTTGCACACACACACTTATGGTGAGTTAGTTTAACACACGTCTTTACGATGTAAAACCCACTCACTGTAAAATTAGTTGTCTGAAAATAAACCACTGTTGCCATGGAAACATCCAGCAATGGGTAAATCAGCCCACAAAAAGAGATACATTATTAATGCTGACATCATTTCCACCCTGTAATCTGTGTGTGAGCGCATTAATAACACAGTCATGTGTTTCTTCAACACTGCTCTAATGAAACCCTCTCACTCCTCACTTCTCTTCTGTCTAAAACTCACAAAGTGAACGTGACAACAGAAATCCTAACCCGCACACTCACGCTAAACCAGGCATGGACAAACTAAGGCCCGGGGGCTGGATGCGGCCCGTTCATCCTTTTAATCCGGCCCGCCAAACCTTCTCCAAATTACATAATTTGTTTATATTATCATTATATTTCTGCCTTTTTTGCTACAGTACCCACATCTCCCAGATAGATAGCGTAGAAAATGATAAAAGCATTTTAGCATTTTAGCCTTTATGCATGACTTTGTTCGCACCTGGCTCACTGTTCAATTTTAGGACGATTGTGATGCGTGACAACACTTTCATTAACAAAATGATATGATAAGGGAAACATCAATAAAAAAAACACAATTCATATTTGGCGAAGTGAGCGTGGTTATGACATCATCAGAACGATTGAAGTGACATCACTTGTCAAACAAATGGTCGATAGGTAAATATTGATATAAGTACCAATTCTGGTTTCAGTTTCAGTGGCACACACTCATCTCCGTGCCTCATGCTGGACTTTACTCACTCTGTCTGAATGTGTGACTACACTTACAGCAACATACATTGTTGCCTGCACCGCACTGTTGCAACCACTCCTGGGCTGTGGACAAGTGAACACATGCAGTTGGCAGATGAAAGCTGGAGCGGTGACATTGATTAGGCAGATACTTCATTATTGTAGCTGCCATTAACAATGAAACCCCATTGATTCAGCCTCTGAAATGGCTGCGAGGGAAATCAGCAATGAAAACAAGAAAGTGCTGTGGTTTCTTTTGATTACACTGCAGGAATCTCAACGTGGCTGCAGCCACATGTAAGACAAGCAGCCTGTGTGTAATCCAAGCTTGTCCTGGAACTGATTTTGTCAGAACATTAGCTCAGCTGCTTCAGTATTATTACTGATGGAATTTTTGTTGCATTAGAATATAATATAACATAGTGTAACATAATATAATATAAATTAGCATTAAGACGAGATTTATAATCTCTGTGTCTGTTATTCAAGCGCAGCAAAAGCAGAACAATGAGGAAAAGCACGTCACATTACTGGACGTGTGTGAATCACTGCTTTTCTCTGTTATTTCTGCGTAGGAGACAAACACACACACACACAAAAAACGCATTGCGTAATACTGTACTTCAAATAACTGCTGTCAGAAAGAAAAAGCCTGTGGCGCTGTTGCTCAATGATCTGAGTGAGAAAACTGCAGGGCAAAGGGTAGAGGAAGTAGGAAAAAAGAAAAACAGCGCCGTGTTGTGGCGAGAAGCAGAACTGAAGCGCGGGCGCGCGCACACACATATTATTATAAGTATTTAATATGTGTACATATGTTTATGTATATATATATTTGATATATATAGATAACACACATATATATAGCATATATATATATTTTCAAAGTACACACATACATTTATTTATGTACTATGCATATACACATAATACATATATATGTTTATATATGTTTGTATATATGTTTATATATATGTTTATATATGTGTTTATATATATATACATATATATGTTTATATATTAATATATGTGTACTATGTGTATATACCAGATGTTCTGGTCTCGGGTTGGCTTTTGAGGAATCTTTTAATAACACTATTATCTTTCATGTAACGTTGTTTTTTGAAGACAAACCCACAGCGAGCGCCTCAGTGTCATTACTGTGAGAAATGTGCATTCATACTGAACGTCTTTTACTCAAGTCCTGTAAGAGACACGCTCCTGACAATGTGCAAAATGCTTTAAAACAGTTTAAATCGTAATTATATCGACGTGAAACGATTTTAAAGTCGTTTGAGTTCCCTTTTAATTTCATAAATCTTATTTTTTTTCGTAAAATACATATTTTATATCACTAATATTACAATATATGGCGTGGAACGAGGAGAAAAGCTGAACATCGGAGGTTTAAAATTAAAGTTACACATCTGCTTCATTAAGTTAGAACATGAACCTGTAAAAATACTGTTGAAACACAATTTTACCCTTTATATATTATACTCGACCCCTTTTTGATCACAATTACTGCTTTCCGAACTCTACCAGACCGCGTCCCTTCCAGGACCTGCGGCAATCCATTCAAGCCAGCAAGTTTGAGAGCGTGTTGTGTTTAATCGATTCATAACGTCGAGATGGAGCCGAACTCACTGAAGGTAATGTTTGCCATCAGAACTGCGTTTGTTTCTATTTAACCTCGTTTCTCGCCATCGTCTTCGGTGGCTGTCGTATCGTAGCACGTCCTCGGTTTAATATCGGATATTAAAAAAATATAAAAATAAAACAGAACCAAACTCTGATGCTTCGCACATTTGTGATGTGAGCACATCTGTGTCAAATGTTTGCCTGTCTAAAAATAGTTCTGTGTTTGTCTTTGTTCCGGACGGGAATTTTTTATCCGCAAGCTCGTCATTACGCATGAATAAAATGTTTTTATTTTATTATTATTATTATTCCACCTTCCTTAGTCAAATGTTGTTTTCTCTGGTGTTATGATGTTGATGCTGTTTTTTTTTTTTTTTTTTTTTTTTTTTTTAAACGCCTGCGTCTATGTATCCTCCACAGTGGGTGGGCTCGTCCTGCGGTTTACACGGACCTTATATTTTCTACAAAGCCTTTCAGTTTTTGCGGGACGGAAAATCCAGGATTCTGTCACTCGGCGACTTTTTCTTCGTCAGATGTAAACCCGAGGATCCAGTTTGCATAGCGGAGCTGCAGCTTCTCTGGGAGGAACGGACAAGCAAGCAACTTTTATCCAGCTCCAAACTTTATTTTTTACCGGAGGACACGCCGCAGGGACGGACGGTCACGCACGGAGAGGTGAGAGACCGACGTCTCCCGGGAACCGAGAGGCATATCTGTGCGTCAGTGTGTCTTTTCTATTCTATTCTATTCTTTTCCAAATCTACAAATATCGTTAAGTTGTGCAGATATCTACTCTCACTCTTTCTCTCTCCCTCTCACTCGCTGTCTCTCTCTCTCTTTCTCTCTATCTATCTATCTATCTATTTATCTATCTATCTATCTAGTGCGCGTGCGCGTGCCCGCATGTGTGTGTCCCTGCGTCGTCGACAGCGTTTGTCTATTGTACTGTCAAATGCTGAATGTGCAGCTTGTTGTTAGCTTGTGTTTTAAAGGAGGGAGAATCTGCAGGAGGCCGTTCCCTCTCTCTCTCTCTCTCCCCCACGAGCCTCCGTCACGTTAGTCCTCAGTCAAAGCCTCGACTGCTGACGTACGGGAGGAAATTGCGAAACTAATAAGTGGGTAGAGGATCAAACGGCTGCGTGAGTTATTGGATATTTAACGTGGAAAGTAGGACAATACAATACAGTTGGAGTGAATTACAAAAAAAAAAAAGGGGGGGGGACACGAACGTCCTCCCGCGTCCTGACTCACGGCTCCTATCGTTTATCAGCCCTGTGTGTGTGTATGTTTTTCTAGCCGTCAAGGACAAAATGGAAAATGTTCCTGTTTTACACGGAGGCGTTGTTGGCACAGAACACCACTGCGTGTATAATTGATTATGTCCATATGTGGCGCTAGAGATGCAACTTCAACATTGCATTACATTACATGCTCTTCACTGTCATCGTTACATTGACGTAAAACACTGTCTGTGATTGGATACGACAGTGGTTTCTCACAGATCTTAAAATATCTAAGTAAAAAAAAAAAAAAAAAAGTCAAATGTAATTTATTCATCTGCAACATAAGAACAAGGAGAAACACAGGCCATAAAAATGCCTGAATAAATCTGGCATTAATTTGATCTCTTCTCTATTATTTAATATACCATTTTAATATGTTAAAAAGTTTACATATATCATATATATATATGAAAACATATATGTAAATATATATTTATATACATATATTCTGTATATATAACTACATATTAAAAGATTGTATCACTCATTTGGTCTCACTTTTAGGTATTTTAAAGAAATTTATTAAGCATAACTTTTGACTAACTCTGCCATTTTAAGTCTTCCCTCCTCTCAAATGTAACTTTAGTTTTTTTTCTTACATGTTTGACTATTTTTGGTTCTGCTGCTCTTTCACTTTTCTCTCTCTCTCTCTCTCTCTCTGTAGTCACAAATGTGGATTTTTCTTTCCTCATCGGGGAGAATATGTAAAAACGCCCTGTGTTACATAAAGCAGTATCTGCATCGCTAAGTGTGTCCATATGTGGCTCCACTTACATCAGCGCGTTCAAATGTTTTCTGCTCAGTGTGTCAGTGATGAGGAGCCTCTGACAGACGTTCCTGTATAATGACTTTTCATTGGCTCTGATTCTCTACTACTGCTCTTTCATTGTTTCTAGTCGGAGGACAAAGCCGTGTTTGTACTTGACTCTTCCGCTGGTGCTTTACTTACATTCTTTCCTCTTGAGTAATAGAGTGGATATCACGATTCTCTCTTTCAGCAGTTAGGAAGAAAAACACAGGTCTGTTTACAGCCATTTGAGGCAGAATTTCTCTCTCTGCGCCTCCCTGGTTTACTCCCAGGATTTTTCTCATTTAGTTTCTTGGCTTTATCTCGCTGCAGTTATGGAGTCACTTCACTGAGAACATGAACGGACCACTGGCACACTTACGCAGCCAGCTACATTAGAACTCCACCCCTTGTGTTAAATGGTTATTTGCATTGCAAAATGCTTCTGTTTCAATTACTGGATAAAACACCACCAGCAGGCAGTGTTTAAAGTCTGGCCTGGGGACAGCTGCGGTACTCCTCTGAGGGCCTTTTTATTACAGATACAGAATCTCTTTTTAAATGCTTATGGAGTAGCGTCCAACGTAGACAAAGCAACAATTTTGTTTGCATATAAACGTGGAGGATTAGACGTATGTCCCTGAGCCGGGGTGTGTGTAGAAGTCTATGTTATGTTGAAATAAACAACGTCACGATGTAACGATAAACCCGTAAAAATGTGTGGATATCTTTCAACACTTGCTGCAACAAGAAGTCACAGAATCCTCCCAGGAAACCAAGGACAGGGGAACATATTATGATAAATACTCGATTCTACGAAACTTAAAGACAGTCTTAACAATCACTGCAGGATTATACTGGATCCTAACATGAAAGACTAACCCCCCCCACACCAACCCCTAACACATGAGTGACTGTACTGCTAATGTAAATAAATGAGGGGTCTCTCTCCCCTCTCCTTGCTGCTCCACCACACACACACACACACACCTCCTTAAAAAAGAAATGTGTAACTTAGTTGACTTATTGTGGTGCTTTGTGTTTGTCAGCAGTACGTCGCCCTCCCTGGCCTGAGGTTAGTGCTAAACACACATTTATGTTCTGAAGGCGTGTTCATGTCACCCTGATCCTGTAAACTGGATAGAACACCCTCTTCACCTGGCTGCTGATTGGATAAAAGCCATCAGAGCTACATAATAGACGGTTGTGAGACTCAGTTTGTAGCAAAGGTTAAAAACATTAGCGAACACTTTACATGTTAGCGATATTGTGTTATTGCAGGGTTGGTAGCACAACATGAATTGTGTATTAGTGTCAGGTTAGCAGTGGCTAGCACGTAACCAGTTAGCATTTTGTTGGACAAAGCTAACCGTGCCCTCGGCTCCTCTTCTCGTCGCTGCCGTGCTCTCTCTCTCTCTGTGTGTGAAGCTGCTCGGCCGCAGGAACTGGTGTTTTCCTCTAACCCAACAATGTTTCAAACTCGCTGAGCGACACAATTATTTTCCCTGACTGCAAGTGACCTGTTTCTGATGCTTTGCTGCCGCTGACACTGTTTCTGTTTTTGGATTTTAGGACATGGAGAACTGTTGTAGATAATAATAGTGTGTGTATAGACACACACACACACACACACACACACTTATCTTTATAGGATTTAAAAAGGCATTCATTCTGGAGCTCGGAGAATTTTCTGGAACGTCCCAAAATACTGCCTCTTAACATTACCTCTGATTTTCTCTCTTCTTTCACTATGACACAGCTGTGTGTCAACAATCGCACACAAACATCGCACACAAACATCGCACACACATGTGATGTGACTCCTGTGGTGATTTAATAACTCACTCACTCTGCTCTGTTTCCATATTTGTACCAACGTTTTACCAGTCCAGGCTTTAAACGGTCTTTTAGATAATCCTTAGCTGTATTGCGTAATAGCTGCATGGTTTAACTTTGATTACATTAAATGAGTGTATTGCCGTCAGTAGCTTCAGTGTGTGTGTGTGTGTGTGTGTGTGTGTGGGAGGGGGGGCAGCTTCTTTATGCAGAACAACTGCAGTGGCTCATGTTTCAGCAGCTCAGCTTTAAATCTTTAGATTCAATGCGTTCACATAAACAAAGGCAGGAGTTTCTTTGTGAAGGAAAAGGATTTTGTGTGTGTGTGAGTGTGTGCGTGCATGGAGTGTGGCTCTGCTCCAGCTGCAGAACAAGTCATTAACTCTGAACACTGCCCTCCAGTGAATTCCTCACCACTGCTGAAATAGCATGTAAATTATTACCAGCTTTTTTAGGATGGTGTCATTGAAAACCTTTAAAATGGAACACTCTGAACTTCAAAGGCTGCTAAAAAAACACCGTTTCCCATTGGCCGACGGATTCTAATTCCCACCCATTACCAGTGTGAGTATTTTCACTCAGTAATGACACGTTCTAGCAGACGTTTGTTGCTCCTCATTCTGACCATTTTTCCACCTAGTCGTCGACTCACCACTTGAACAGACAAACATTTACCCTAATGCTCCCCTCT